ACCACAGGGCTTCCCCTGAGAAGGAGTGAGACCCAGAGGGGCTTGGGCCCACTGACAGGCTTCTCCTAGGGGCTGTTCCAAAGCTGGGTCCATGATGGTCCCTAAACAGACCCATCCTGCCTGGCCCTAGCGTCAATGGGGGAGCGAAAGCGCAGGCTGGAGTGATGCAAGCTTCCCCGATGTCCCTCAGTCCTGACCCGCAGGCCCCTGCTAGCCCAGCCCTGCCCCCGGGCCCTTTGATAGGCGGGTTGGCTAGTCCCTGTTGAGCTGCTGTTCTGTAGCTCCTGCCATCCAGCACTGCGGCTCCTTGACACCCCCCCCGGCTCCAGCCTTGGGGTGCTGCTGGCCCCAGTGTGGGAGGAGCAGCCCCTCAAACTGCTCGCTGGGTCCTTCCTGTAGACCATCTCTACTGCCTGGCACTGGGCCCGGGAGGTGCCTGCAGGGACTGTCCAGCCAGAAAGTCACCCCTTGCCCTGACTTCCCTGGCCATGGCCAGTAGCCCTTCCCCTTCAGTGCCTCGTGCCCTGGGGTGGCAGTTCAGGGCCCTCTGCTCGCTGGCTTGGCTCATGGGGCCTCTGGCAGGGTCTCCTGAGCAACTGGCTCAGGTTTGGTGCCAGGGAGCTGCTACCCCGGCTGCTTGGGATCACACACAGTGCTGCCCCTGGCTTCAAGACCCTTCTCCCAGGAGTGTCTCATAGCCTGAGCTGGCTGCATGGGGCCTGCTCCCAGGTGCACAGGAAGTCTGGACTGGTGTCCAGCCAAAAGTGCCTGCTAGGCTCCCCTCTGAGCTGGCAGCAGAGGTGGGAGCCTGGGGCTACCCGTGGGTCTGACTGGATGGTGCCCCCTTCCTGGGAGCTTCCCCAGCCTGGCCTAGAGAAATGGCTGGGGAATATGGAGGCACTACCCAGGCCAGGAGGGGCCCCATGAGCACGCAGGGCTCTGCAGAGCATTGCTCCCCTTGGTTCTAGATGGGGCATCACCTCTTGTGTGCCGGGGGCAGCTGAGGGTGGAAGACAGGAATCCCAGCTCCCTGCCCTAAGCCCCAAAGTTGTAACAGGTGCTGCAAGGCTCCAGTGCCCCAGGGAAAGACGGTGGCCAGTCCTGCCCCGTGGAGTGAACCCCTGGGTGCTGCCTGCTGGGGCCTCTGGTGCAGCTTGGCACTTTCAGGAATGGCTGCTCGGCGTGGTCTCTGCTGAATTTGCTGGGGTTTAACCCCTGTTCCTTGGCAACCCCCTCCCCTCTGCCCTGGAGCCAGCTGGGCTGCAGCAAGGCCTTTTCTGGAGTGACAGGGCTGCCCCCACTCTGGCCTCGGAGCTCCTTGGGACAGGGACCCTCCCCTCTGCCTCCAGCACCCTGCACTGGGTCACTGTCCAGGTGGAACATGATGCCCTCTGGGGGCCAGGCTGCCCAAGGGAGTTAGGGGCCTAAAGGTGCAGGCAGGCACCCTGGGTGATTTTCAAATGTGCCTGGTATTCTCTGTATCTTGGGGCCCTAATTCCCTTGGACAATCTGGACCCCGGTGCCTGCTGGCTCTGTAGGCACCAGGGTGCGTGCTGGGACTTTCAGGCTTTCTGTCTTCCAGATAAAACAGTGCTCTGCCCTCTCCCCCATGCTCATGCCTCTTCATGTCCCATTGCCCCTGTTCCCCCACTAGGCTTGGCATCTCCCCTCCCGCCATGATCCCTGCCTGACCAGGTGGAAGCTGCAGGTGGCCGTTGTGGCCCATCGGGGCCAGCCTGGAGCTGGGCTGGGCAGGGCAGGAGGTTGGGCCCCTCGCCTTTGCCCCCTGTGGGATTAGCCCGTGATGGATCCTCCTGCCCTGGGGCTGCAGGGGCCGTGATGGAGGTTGTGGGGGGCCTGGGCGACAGCTGGCACTTGACAAGGGGGTCTGGGTGCATGGGGCTGCCAGCCCCAGAATGGGATTAACTCTAGCCCCACCATCCAGAGGGCACTGGGGGCAGAGAGATGTGGGCGGCTTGACCAGTCTGTGCTCGTCATGGGCTGGTGGTGGGAGTCAGCTCATGCCTGACAGGTGAGAGGTGGCAGCTGCCTGGGGGGCGGGAGGCTGCCCATGTGGCGCTTGGAAGCTTGGGGGGGGCACGTGTCTGGGAAAGCCCCTCCTGCAGCATCTCTCCCCTCCCCACTCACCCTTCTCCGCTTCACCCTTGACTGACCCAAGAGCCTGTTTCCGCAGGCAAGGCTGGGCGGCACCTGGCTGGGTGACGCGGCACCCTGCGGTGCCCATTAGGCCCCCTGGGAGAATCTCTGTCCATCGGCATCCCTGCGGACCCCCCCCTCTGGCTGTGGGGCACCGGCCGGGGGTGCCTGCTGCTCTCTGCGCAGCTCGGTCGGAGGCGAGGCCAGTGCTTGGTGGATGAATAATTAACGTGCCCTCGTCCCCAATTGGTTTGTGGTATTAAAAACTAATTGCGATCGGCCCCGCTTGTCATCTCTACCTGCGCCAATGTCCCGTTTATTGATCAAAGTCACCCGGTGCCACCATTTATCTTGCTGCGGCAGCTCCCGTAATGCCTCGTTTGTCTTGGTCACAGGCCAGCGCTTCGCTTTTAACCCTGTGTGTTCTGGGTGCTGCCCCCCACGCAGTGCGGGCCCTGCTCCGGGGGGGAGGGCACAGGGGAGACAGGAGTGGGGCAGAAAGGGGGAGGGGAGTTGCACCTGGCCATGGCCTTGGCGGGTGGGGAGAGGAATTTGCTCCTGTATTAGCTGGGATGGGCGAAGTAGGGATGGAGACCTCAAGCCCTGACCCCAGGGGCCTGTGGGCCCTGGCTGGGATGGAGGTGCATGGGACACGGAGAGGTGACATGGTCCCTGGCACTTGCTGGCACCTGTGCCTGCTCCAGGCTGGTGAGAGTCAGTGGTTGGCTGGCCTTGGAGGACTCTGCCCAGGAGGCATGGCTGCATGGCCCCTTGGGCCCGCCTGAGATGGGGGCGGCTCGCCCCGTGGGGCCCGTCCCCTGGTATCAATCCAACCATCAGCGTTTCCTGGTGCCCACCCCCAGCTTGGGACGGGGTAGAGCCAGGCCTGTGGCCGTGCAGCTCCCCGCTCCACGCCAGGCTCGCTGCGGGCTGGGCCGGCTCCTGTTTAATTTCATCTCTCTTCGGCTGGGCAGAATTAAGCTGAGCCGGCTGTCAGGACAAAGGGGCTGGTGTGGCCTGGGGGGCCCGGGCAGCAGTGCTGGGCTGAATGCCGAATCCCCGGCCTACATGCTGGCCTCCCCTGGGGCGGGATCACTTTCCACACAGCGCGGAAACACGAGCAGCTGGGCCGGTGGGGAAGGGGGGCAGGCATCTGGGGTGCTGTGGCTGGCAGTGAGAGGAGGAGACAGAACATTGGACCCCTGCCCTCCAGCAACATGCCCCCACTTCTGGGGGCATTCACACCCCTGCCCGTCGATGCTCATGGGGAGCCACAGTTGCCCCCATCCTGGTGTCTCACTGCTGGGGTTAGATCTGCCCTGTCTGGGTCCCAGTGCTGTGCTCTGGCCACACCAGCCCCAAAGCCCCATGCAGCGTCCCTGCAGAGGCCTGGCAATGGGGTAGCATCCCTGGCATGGGAGGGGGCCGGGAGAGGACAGCCAGAGAGGAGCTGGGTGCTGCTTGCTGCCCTGGCGAATGGTATTCTATGGTCGTGCTGGGGCCTGGGGGGTTGAGCGTGGCACTGGCAGTCGGGCTCCTGGGGGCTGTAACTGGTCTGCCACTGACCCACAGTGTGACCGTGGGAAGTCAGGTCCCAGCTACGTGCCTCAGTTTCCCTGTCTGGAGAATGCGGGTTGGAACTGAGAACACCCTAACATTTCACCAGTCCCCCCCCCGTTGCCTGTCATCAGTGCACCCATTAATTTCACTGCACCAGCCCGTGTATCAATTTATCCCACCCCTGTGTCTGTCTGTCGAGCTGGGGGAGCAGATGTGTTTGCCATGGCTGCAGGAGGACTAGGGCCAGCAAGACCCCGCTTGCCCTGGGCATCCGGACCGCCCTGTGCCAGCAGCAGGTCCAGCCCCCTTCCTGAGCATGGTGCTGGAGCCGGGCCCGGCGGGCAGGGGGCTGGCGGTAATTGCATTGGCTGCTAATTACACCTCTCGGTCTCTGCGCTCGGGAAGAGGGCAATAAAATTTTGAATTAAGATATAAAACTAAGTCATTAGCCAGCAGCTGCGGGGGGCCGTGCTGGGATTTACAGCCCCCATGCTGCAAGTGGCTCGGCTGGGAGGGGGCCTGGCCCGCAATCAGGCCATGGGGTGACCCTGACCCCACACTGCTGGAGAAGGGGGTGGGCTGCACCAGGCCAGCCAAGGCCTGAACCCAGACAGTGCTCAGCCTTCCTGCTCTGCCAAGGATCTCAAAGCACGCCCCTGTGTGAGTCCCAGTCTCTCCTCTGGGGAGGCCACTGAGACGCCTCAGGCAGAAGGGGAAACTGAGGCACGGAGCCACCCTCCCCACCTCCCAAGGGACTTGTCTGCAGCTGCAGAGGGCGTCAGTGGCAGAACTGGGAACTAGAAGCTAGGTGTCCTGTCGGCCTGCTCTGTGTAGTGCTAAGGCAAAGCGAGGTCACATGGAGATGGGTCCTGGCATCCAGCTTTCCCCAGTGCAACACTTGGCCCTTGGCTGTCACCGTAACCCCGCCCATGTTACTGATGCCCCTTGGCATGCCCCCCCCAGTGCATGGCACCCCCAAATCCTCCCCCCCTCAGTGCACGGCACCCCCAAATCCTCCCCCCCCCAGTGCACGGCACCCCCAAATCCTCCCCTCTGATCCTCACCCCAACATCCCCCAAATGCAGGGCACCTCTGATCCTCCCTCTAATGCCCCCCCCCACCCGCGCAGGGCACTCCCGATCCGTTCCCCTCACAGCCCACCCCCAGGGCTGGCACCCCCCGTACATAAGGTTAGAGCCCTGCCCCGGTGCCCCGTGCTTGTCTGCCCCTGTGGGGCTGGTTCCTCACCCCATCCCACAAGGCATGAACACCTGGCGCCCAGCAAGGTTTCATATATTTATTCATAAGCCAAGTTATCGATAGAAAAGTTCCATACTAAAAGGCCTTTACATCGTCTGCTGTTCAGAAAACTGGGGTGTTTCCCCCTTTTTTTGTTGTAGTTTTTTAGTGTTTACATTGAAAAAACCCCTCCCCTCGGCGCAGAACGGCCCTTTACACATTTACAGCATAGCGTGGCCACGGGGAGGGGGGCACGGCCACTCGAAGGGGAGGGTCCGGGGGGAGTCTTGCACGCTCAGCAGGAATTTGGGTTACTCTGAGACCACCGGGGGGAGGGGAGGCTCCTTTCTCTTCTATCTGGAGCTTTAGGGGGGGCTGGGACGAGCCAGCGTCCCCCTGCCCCAGTGAGGGCGCGGGTCCCCGACTGGAGTGGGCAGAAACCACAGACAGCAAAGTATTGGGAGAGTGGGGGCTGCGGGGGCACCTCAGAACACATTACATCAGCCCCTGCTGCGGCCCTGGGAGTTGGGACGACTGCCAGGCCCTGGGGCAGCACGGGGCCTTGGGGATGTCTGGTCCTTGGTTGGGGGTGCCCAACCCGCTCAGTGGGGCCATGCTACCCCGAGCTGGCATGGGCCACACGGAGCCCAGTAGTGTGCCCAGTGGGTGCCACCTCCCTGCAGGGCAGGGCTGTCATGGGGGGAGTCGGAGACATGCTGGCAGCCCCTGGGTGGGAGAGCTGGGATGTCTGCACATCACCCCCACAGAGCAGGTGCAGGGGCCGGCCACGGCAGGGGCCTGCTCCTGAGTGTCCCAGCCGGTTCCCCGCGTAGCCCCCGTGGGGGTGGGTGAGCAGGGGGGTGGTGCTTTGGTTTGACTGCAGGAAGCCACCCACTGCCCCTCTGGCTAACTCGGCATGCCAGGGCAATGGGATCTAAGCAGGGTGCCATACCCGCTCCCGGATGACTCAGCCTCACCTGCCTGGGCACCTTCTCACTGGGGTCTGCTTTCGGAAAAGCCCCAATTGCCCTGCGTGAGCAGCCCGGCTGGGGGGTGGCTGTGGGGTTGCTGAGCCCCACGGCCAGAGCTGCAAGCCCAAGGGCACTCAAAGGGGAAAGAGACATCTCGGCCCCAGCTGGGCCCCAGACCAGGGCATCGGGGCAGCCACGGCCCATGGGCCGCGCTGGCTCCAGCCAGGCCCCTATGTCTTATCCTGAGAGGGTCTGGGTTAGTTTGGTTTAATGGATTAATGGGATTCAGAAAAGAGGTTTGGGGCTGCCCGGCCTCAACTGAGAGGGGGTGCGGTGCTGTCGGGCACCCCTGCGCTTTGTCCTTTCAGCACCCGCGCACCCCGCCGCGTGCCCACCCCTCCGTGTGCCCACCCCTCCGCGTGCCCACGTCCACATGCGAATCCCCCCCCCCACCGTCTGCACACATCCACCCACCCTTTAACCGGGGTCCCGGCGCGGCTGGGAGCCACAGGGAGACGCCTAGCCCGGCTCTGTCTCCTGCTTGGGTGGGGCGCGGGTGCATGCAGGAGCGGCAGGTCTGTGCGTGTGGCGGCTGCATGCGTGTGCGTGGCGGGCGCGTTTGGTTCCCGAGGGAAGCTAGCTCGGGCTGTGCGCTCCCTGCCGAGCATGGCCTGGCCTCACTGCCCAAGTTTATAATAATATATATACTCTCTCTGTTCCCCCATCACAGGGCACGTGCCCCCCGACAGAGCGCCGGGGCACTAGCATCAGAATAAGAATAAGAATAATACACCGAAGGACCGAGGGAGCGTGCCCCAGGGGGTCTATATTACATAGTCCGGCCAGGCGGGCACCGTCCCATCCGCGGGGTGAGCGCGCCGGGGCCCTCCCTGCTCCCTCCCTATGTACAGAAAACCCCAGCTGTCCTCGGCCTCAGCCAGGCTGGGGGCAAACAGTGCATTGCAACCCCCCCCTGCCCCCCGTTTGTCTGTCGGTTTCTCTGTTTCCATAAAACTTCCCGGAAGAAATACAATATTTACACGAGAAATAAATAGAATAATACACCTGATTTCTGCTTTACCTGCTGGCAAACAGTCCGAGGTACTAGGGACAGTATGGCTTGAATTCAAATCTCTCCGTGCCTGCCAACGGGAAGGAGAGCTCTGTGTGCAGGTCTCTGGTGAGCCAGGCTGGCTCTGCCCTGCGGCCGGGATCCGGGTCGCTGCTCCGCGGGAGCTGCCGGGGTCGTGCCGCTGGGGGGCGGGGGTTTGCATAATTACCGGGCCTGGCTCCAACGGGCAGAGGTGGTGCTGCTGGGAGAGCTTCCGCGATGTCAGCGCAGCCCTTCCGTTGGCCAGCCCACCCAGAGAGGGAGGCAAAAGGCCCCAGGATGCCCGGCCACTCCTGGCCCCAGTTCCCGGCTCCTTTCCCCTGCGTGTTTGCCGGTGAGTGGCCGGGGGGTGGTTGGTTCGCCCCTGACGGGGTCAGCACAGAATGGGGACGCCGTCGGCAGTCACCAGCCGGCCCGTGGTGGGATCGTAAGTCCCCGCTAGATAATAGAGGTCCTGGCGGTCCTGGTACTTCTTGCTCCTGGTCAGCTGCTCATAGTGCTCCCGCCCCACCACCTGGCACTTGTGCGAGATGGTCTGCACGTCGTTCTCGTCCTCGTGGCACGACTGGTACAGTGCGTTCTGCGGGCAAAGGGCAGGATGAGGGTCCCCTGCAGGCCCCAGGGGCTTCAGCCACTGGACGGGCTGCTGGCCCGGCCCAATGCAGACACTGGGCCCTGTCCGCCATGCTGGGAGCTCCGTGGCATCCTGTTCTGAGTACAGCCCTCGGGTTCTCGGGAAAGGGGCCGCTCTGCGCCCATCCGCCCAGTGCCCCATCCTGTGCCGGTCCGCCCAGCAACCCCCATTTTGTGTCCGTCTGCCCAGTGCCCCCTCCCATGCCTGGCAGCCCAGCACACCATCCTGTGCCCATCTGCCTTGCAACCCCCATCCCATGTCTGTCCACCCAGCTACCCCAATCCCATGCCCAGCCACCCCGTCCTGTGCCTGTCTGCCCCATGTCCCATCCCCTGCCCATCTGCCCAGTATCCAAATCCTGTGCCCGTCTAGCTAGTAATCTCTGTCTCGTCTCTGTCTGCCCAACAACTCCCATCCCATGCCTGTCCATCCAGCGCCCCATCCCATGCCTGTCTGCCTAGCGCCCCAATCCTGTGCCCATCTGCCTAGCAACCCCTGTCCCATGCCCAGCCGCCCCATCCCATGCCTGGCTGCCCAGCGCCCCCATCCACCCAGCTGCCCCTGTCCCGCACCCATCTGCTCAGCACCGCTGCCCATGTCCAGGATCCATGCCCGGCCACCCGCCCCATCCAGGGTCCATGCCCAGCCGCCCACCCCCTCACCTTGCCGTCGCTCTGCCGCTTGCCCAGCTTGGTCTCCTCAGGGTGGTAGAACCACTTCACCTTCACCACCATGTTGCTGCCCCACGACTCCCACATGCTCTCGATGCGCCCGATGTAGGGCAGGTTGGGCCGGCCGGCAGAGAGGAACACGGCACAGTCGCCGATGCGCAGCGTCTCCTTGCCCCGCACGATGGCCTTGTAGAACAGCTTCCGGGCCTTGCCTTTCATGCCCCTTCTCTGCGGTGGGTGGAGATGCAGTCAGGCCCCAGCTCGCGACCCTCCCGCCCCACACTGGCATCCCGGGCACGGCTGCCCTGGTGAGATGGCGGGGGGGCTGGTAGCGATGCAGTGGCTCCAGGCCCCCTCAGCGAGTCCACGGGCTCCCAGCAGGACAGGGCAGGCCCAGGGCTAGCGGTGGGGATGGGGTGCCCCTGGCAGGGGTGGGGCAGTTCTGCCAAGCCCGTGCCCCCTCAGGCAGTGACTGTGCCTCCCTGGTAGGGGTCTGCTTGTGGAGGTGCTGGCCTGTTCCAGCAGCTCCCCGACCCAAGGCATCCCCGTTAAGGGCGCGCCCTGCCCCTCGTCCCACCTACAGGCAGTGCCCACGCTAACAAGCCAGGGACAATCGCATGGGAGGCCTCTACCTGCCCTGTCCTTGAGGCTTCCCTGGGGGTGGGGTCAGACATACCAGGGGCGGGGCCAGATGTTTCCAGGGGCGGGACCAGATGTACTGGGAGGCGGAGGCAGATACAGCCAGGGGCGTGGCCAGATGTACCCAGGGGTGGGGCCAGATGTACCTGGAGGTGGGGCTGGACCTACCTGCGTGGGGTTCCCCGACCACTTCCAGAGCTGCCGTGCCGGCAGGAAAGCGGAGATCTTTGGCCGATTTTCCACCGACGGCAGCCGCTGCCTCCGGGAGAACTCTTTGGCTTTGGAGAAGCTCAGGGCCTCCTTGCGCTTCAGCTTGGCCTTGGCGCTGGCGGCGGCGGCCTTGGCGATGAAGCACCTCTGCGGGGTGCTGCTCTTGGAGTGCAGGGCCTGGGGCTGTGCCAGCAGGGTGGGCACGGGGTGGGTGAGGCAGGTCTGCAGCAGCAGGGTGGAGTCCTCGTCGTCGGAGCTGTAGGAGGAGTCCTCGTTGTCGGAGGAGCACAGGCTGGAGGTGGAAATGGAGCCGGAGGAGGAGGAGGTGGAAGAGCCGGAGGAGGAGGAAGAGACCGAGAGGCGCGTGATGAAGCGCGAGGGCACGTTGGCGCCCAGCCCGCCGGCCTCCTCGTCCTCGTCGGAGTAGGAGCTGTGGCAGTCGCTGTCACAGTTCAGGGCGTAGTCAGCCTGGCCCGAGTACTTGCGCAGAGCCAGCCCCATGGGCAGCTGCTGTATGGGGGCCCGCCCCTTTTTGTCCTTGCCCACCAAAGCTGGGTGGGCGTAGCCATGGCTGGGCAGGGGCCGCTCCAGCTTGGGCCCAAAGTCCTTCTCGCTCATCAGCAGGGCCTTGCAGTTCTTGTTCTTGGGGGACGTCACACCCTCATGGTCCAGCTTGACCAGGTACTCGCTGCCCGACTTCCTCCTGCCCCCCTTGCCCACCTCCGCCTCCAGCCTCTCCACCTTCTTGGCCCGCAAGAGCTTCTGGGCACCGGGCAGAACCAGGCCGGCGCCAGCACCGAAGGAGGCATACGAGCTGGCGATTCTGCTGAAGGAGTCGGCACCGAAGCCGTTGCCGAAGATGGGGGTGGCCACGCTGTGCACGGGGAAAAGCGCCTCTTTGGCCCGCAGTTTCTTGCTGCTGCCATTGAGCTGGAAGAGGTTCTGCAGCACGGCTGGGTTCTTGCTGGCCGCCTTCCGCTTGGTCTGGGCCACCGCCGACCAGCTCAGCAGGGGGCTGCCACGCCGGCCCAGGAAGTGATCAGCCGGCGGCAGCGCCTTGGCACCCATGGCCAGCACATCGGCTTTACCTGCCGGGGAGGGAAACAGCCAGGTCAGGGCGATGGCTGGCCCTGGGTGCCAAGGCGCTGCTGTGGCTGGGAACAGCTCCGGGCTCTGCCAGGCTCCTGATCCACAGCCAGAGCCTCCCAACTGTGCCACCCCCGGCACCGAGCCCCGCACACGCGGGTCCCCAGGCATGGCTGTGCCAATTCAGCTCTCAAGTCGGGGACGAATGCGCTGGCTAGAGAGGAGCAGGATGCCAGCAGGGTGCATATGGCCCCCAAGGTGCAGCTCTGCCAGCCCAGTCTGACTTGCAGCCCCCGGCTACCCAGCCCTGGGCTCCACCACCCCAGCTCTGCTGGTGCCCCTCACTCCCGACCCGCAGCTCCCTGCTAGGCCAGTCCCAAGCCCCTATGGAGTTTCCCTCCAGGGAAGAGCGTAGCTCTGCTGGCTGGCTTTAGCAGAGCAGGCGAGGGACCCTTGGCCCATTGGGAGCCTAATTCCCAGCCCCCAGCTCTACCTACCGGCTTTCTCTTTGCCAGCGGCCTTCTTGCTGGAGTTCTTGGCTGGCTCGGCGCTCTCACGCCCGTCCGCACACAGGCTGGGGACCGCCTCGCTGGGCGGGGGGGCATCGCTGGAAGACCGCTTCGTCCGCCGGCATGTGCTGGATACCAGCAGGGCGGGGGAGGGCTCTGTGCCTGTAACCACAACGAGCGTCAGGGCTGGGGAGGAGACTCGTGCCCACAGCCAGATGGGCCAGCCCAGGCCCCAGGGGCAGGGAGACCTGGCTGAGTCCCTGCCCGGCCCCCTGGCAGTGTGAGGCCAGTACTCTGGCCCCTGGCCCTGCATACCCAACTTGTGCCTCTCTGCGGGGCTTCCCCCCAGCCCCAGGCAGGGCACGGCCCCCCGCCCCCCTTCGGGGCCCAGCTGGGCGGCTCACACTGGATCTGGTAGTCCGGTGGCAGCAGGCGGATGTTGGACACCGAGATGTGGCCCGTGTCCCCGTCGTCAAACTCCACCACCACCGAGTCCAGGTCCTCCTCCTCCTCATCGCTGGAGGGACCTGGGGGGACATGCTGTCAGTGCGGGCAGAGGGGAGGGGGAGCCCCAGCGCTGGGCGAGTGGGGGGGGCACCCCACTGCCAGAGCAGCCTGGTGCCCCGCTGAGGACAAGGCCCTGAGCAGATGAGGCTGCACCAGAGGCAGCAGACGGGGGAGGGACGCGCTGATGGCATGGGCATCTCTGGGCCACAGTCGCATCCGCATGCCGCACGAGCGTCCTCCTCCAGCCAGGCCCATCCCCAGCTCCCCCCGCCCGGCACTCGCTCTGCGCTCCCTCTGTCTAGCCCCAGCATGTCCGCAGGGCCGTGTCCCTGGCAGAGCTGAGCTCCCAGCTGTGTGCCAGGGAGATGCTAGCCGTGCTGACCTCCCCTCTCGCTGCCCCTGTCCGGAGACCCCTGCCTGGCACCTGAGCACCCACCAGCCGTAGCTCTGCATTTCTTAGCCCCAGCCCAGGAGTGCTCGCCCTGCCCCACGGCCCAAATGGCTCCTACCCCAGCGCCTGGGCCCTGGCCTGCACCCTGCGGGCGCCTCACCTCGCACAACGTTCCCCGGGTAGAGGCAGCGGGATTTCTGGCTCCAGTACGCGCACACCCTGGCGCCTGGTGGGAGGTGGTGGCTGGACTGGGGTCTGACGTCCAGCACCTGGAAGGAGACAAGAGCGCGAGTCACTGGAGGCTCCTCAGCAGGGCTGGGGCCTCCTTCCCCTGCAAAGGGTGTTGGTGGGGGGTGTCTGTCGCACCACCTGGGGAGAGCTCTGCCTGGGAAGTGCACACGGGGCAAAGAACCAGTGGGGTTCTGGGGCAGCTAGTCCTGGTGTGCTCCAGCCGCTGCCCGGGGTGCTCTGCTGCTGTCCCGGCCTGGCTCCCGTCCCCCGCTGGCCCCAGCGCATGGTGTGCGCCTGCCCTTGTTTGCCCCCCCGCTGTACCGGCCGCTCATCAGCCCTCCCTTCCTGCCCGCGCTTTGAAGGCTGCCCTGCACAGATGGCCGGGACCTTCCGATTGTCTGAGGCAGGTTGTTTCCCTCCCCGGGACTCCGGGCCAAGCTCTGTGTTTACCCAGGGTGAGCAGAGCACTCACGGCTTCCTGCAGGAGCTGCTCCAGGGAGTAGATCCGCTGGCGGTTTCCTCTCTCCCCCTCGATGACAACGCTGTAGCTGCAGGGGGGATTGAGCGAACAAAGGGGTCAGGCCAGCGCGGCGGGAGGAAGGGGCTCGCCTCTGCTTTCGGAGCTCACCCAGAATGGGGAAGGTGGGACATCCGGCCCGAGAGGCCTGGAGCCCAGTGAGTGGCTATGCTGGACGAGAGTCTGGGGTCACAGGGCCAGCCTGGTAATCCAAGGGCCTGCCACAGCAGCCGTGCAAGAGACAGGACCAGGGTGTGGGGGGCTGGGCCGGGACAGGACTCATTTCGTATCCCAAGAGCGTTCCCAGAGAACCATCGCTTTCAGTGGCCTCTCCGAGGGAGAACGGCAGGGAAAATCCAAAAGGGACTAGAGGGCAACCCACCCTGGCGGGCCAGGGGCATCACAGCAGCCCCACCCGTGCAGGGGTTGTCTGTCCATCTGTCCATCTCCTTCCTTGCAGGTCTCCCCCCCGCGTCTTTCCCCCATGCCAGCGTGGCCCTTACATGTCCGGAGGCTGCAGGGTCTTGACACTGCCGGCATACAGCAGACTGTCCTCCTTGGGGATGAGCACGTGCAGGCCATCCCGCAGGTCCTCCTTGCGGATAGTACAGGAGTGCGCTGGGGGAGAAGATGGGGCATGAGTCCCCCAGGCAGCCAGTGCCTGCCCCCCTGCCCACACCGTGCCCGCAAGGCAAGCCACACCACCGTCACTCTCACGCTTCACGGCCCCTCCCGTGGCTTAGGGATCCGGAGCATGCTCATTAGCTTCTGGGGGCTGCCCACGGGATGCTGGCTCTTGTTACAGAGTGCTGAAACAAGCCGTGGGGTGCACTGTGCCCCCCGGGATCCTGGCCCGCCACTCTGTGGCCCCACCTCGCTCCAGGGATCCCAGAGTGCTGCAAGATGTAACTGGATTGAGCCCCACTGCCTCACTCTTGAGAGCCCCATGGTTGAAACTGAGGCACAGAGCAGGGCAATCACACACAAACCCAGGCGAGGACCCAGGAGCACTGAGTCGGGTGCCTTAGCATTGACTCCTCTGCCCTGGACCCCCCTGAGCTGTGTCCATTCATCCCACACCCCAGGCTGCATTTGCTGGAGAATGGCGCCATCTTCCCCCATCCCCCAGTGGCCTGGCAGCCCTGGGCTCTGCCCGGGTGGCTGAGCTCACCGTGGGCTGCGCCTTGCTCAGCCCCCAGCCGAGGGCTCTCCTCCTCTTCTGAGAAGCTGCTGTTGTCGTCGAACTCGAAGTCGTCTTCCACGGTGAAGCTCTCCAGCAGCTTGCTGACCGCCCGCCCCTTGCACTGTGAGAACAGAGTGCCGGGGGCCATGAGCAACCCCCCCCTTGTGGTCTGGGGGCCGCCAGGGAGCCCCTCACCCAGCCCCCAGCCAGGCCACTGAGTGCATCGGTGGGTCAGCCAGGCCTTGAACCTGGGTCTCTCCCGACAGCACCAGCAGGGAGCTCAGCTCTGCCTGCAGCCAGGCCAGCCTGAAGAAGCAAACGTCTCGGAGGCCTGGGGGAAGCCTGGGAGCGTCTGGAGGGAGGGATGGCCCCAAGGGGCTTCTCCCTACTGCTCCTCCCAAACCCCAGTCCCCCCTTAAGGTCCAAAGACAGCCTTGGACAGGACTCCAGCCCCCGCTGCCCTGAAGCCAGCTCGGTCTCTCCAGATGGCTCTATGCCCACAGGCCCCTGACCAGCCCCTTATCTCTGGACGGCTGGGTGGCTGGTGACTAGTCAGGGGGCTGCAGGTAGCTGGCCTCAGCGTCTCTTCCTAACCGTGGCAGGTTGGGCAGGATGTGGTTCAGGGCTTGGCTCCTATGCCACAGACTAGGGGCCATGGGGGCTGCTGCCAGGGGTGGGGGAGGGGTTGCTGCAGTGGGGGCAGGGCTGGCAGAGGTGGTGGAGGGATGGCTGTAGCAGGGGTGGGGGCAGGGCTCATGGAGGTGGGGGGAGGGGTTGCTGCAGCGGGGGTGTGGGCAGGGCTGTTGGAGGTGGGGAAGGGGTTGCTGCAGCGGGGGTGGGGGCAAGGCTGGCAGAGGTGGTGGAGGGATGGCTGTAGCAGGGGTGGGGGCAGGGCTCATGCAGGTGGGGGAGGGGTTGCTGCAGCGGGGGTGGGGGCAGGGCTCATGGAGGTGGGGGAGGGGTTGCTGCAGCGGGGGTGGGGCAGGGCTGGCGGAAGTGGGGGAGGGGTTGCTGCAGCGGGGGTGGGGAGCAGGGCTGGCAGAGGTGGAGGAGGGGTTGCTGCAGTGGGGGGCACCTTGCCTTGCTTCCTTACCTGTTTGGTGGCCACCTTGCTCTTCACCTTGCCCAGCTTCTTGCCTTTGCTGAGGATGGTCTTGGCATTCCTGGGAGAGAGGGCCAGGGCCAGCGCCCCGTTCTTCCGCTGCCGGGGAGGGGCGGAGGGGGGTGGGGGTTAGCGCACAGCCAGCTCCTGCCCGCGTCCGGCCCTGGCAGCGCATGGCTGTGGCCCAGAGACCCCCAACCACAGCCCACTGCCCTGCACCAAGCAACACGCCCCCCACCTGTGAGCCCCCAGCACTCATCCACAAGAGCCCTCCTGCCCCCTGCATTCACCCACAGGAGCCCCCAGCCCCCCAGCACTCACCCGCAGGGCCGACTGCAGCACCTTGGTCTTGCGGGTGGCTTTCTTCAAGCGCTCGCTGGAAATCTTGGCCCCATCCTCCCTGGGTGTGAACTGTCTGGAGTTGGTGCCCGGGAAGGGGCTGTTGCTGGCTGCTAGGCTGCCTGCGCCGGATTTCACCAGCTGCCGCAGGCTCTCCTTGGGCTTCCCCTTCAGTTTCTTCTTAGCAGCCCCCTCGCAGCCCCCTGTCTTCCTCCTGGCGGGCACTTTCTCCAGCTTCCCCACGCCAGGCTTCCCCGGGCGCCGCTTGATCTTGACTTCGCCCTCTGGGCTGGAGATTCGACAAGGCCCTGCAGGGAGAGAGGGGAGGGACAGGCTGCTTAGGCCAGGGGTCCTGATGACTGCCAGCCTGTGCCTGTCCCGAGCCCACCATGGAGCAGGGGCCCAGTGCTGGCATGTGGGCCAGCATCCTTGGGCACCCGCAGGGGAAGCAGCGACTCCTTTTGCACGGTACCCCCCGACCTGGTGCTCTCCCTGCACTGACTCTGAACCATGGCCAGCCGGCCACACGTTTCCATCAGGGCAGCTGCCGAGCAAAGCATCTGGCTTCGCTCGCTGCCTCCTGAGGTAGGCAGACGGGGCAGGTGCTGGGTACAGCACGGACGGTGCCAGCATGAGCCCCTCCAACGTGCTGCCCCTGCTCTGGGCAAAGGCAGCTCAGCCTCCATGGCCTGCCCCCCGCTCAGGAGGGTCTGTGCCAGGGGCCCCCTGCCCTGTGCTCCCTGCACCTGGCACCTGCCAATCCCCGGTACCCCCGGCCTGCCTTTCCCGTTACCTAGCAACCCCTGCCTTTCCTTTTTCTTCTTCGCTTTCTGATTGGCCTCCATCTTCACCACCGAGGATGGGGAGGGCCCGACCACGGCGGGGGGCACCGAGGGAGGCAGGGTCTCGTCGGGCGACAGGGCGGCACCGTCCTCGCTCTCGTAGTCTGCGTCTGCAGGGGGAGGCCAGGCCAGGAGGGGTGAAGAAGAGACTGCAATGGCGAGCATGAGGCTGAGCACCAGCCGGAGGGGGCATGGGGGGCCGTCCCCACCCAGCCCCGTCTCCCCACACTGCCCTGCCCGGCCCTGGGATCAGGGAGGGACCCACTGGGCAGCTGCAGGGGACTCAGCAAGTCCCACATGGCAGGACATGGGGTGCGACCTGGTGCCCGGGGAATTTCAGCTGAATTCGCTCAGCTCCTGCCGGCAGCACCTGGCCTGCAGCCACAGGCCAGCCCGAGAGTGGCTGGGGGAGTCTCTGGAAGCCATCCTGAGGCTTGCCTGGGGATACCCCCAGAAGGGTTGGGTGGCCCCAACGCAGTGGCCAGTCGGGAAGTAGGATCCCTCTTGTCAGGAGCAGAGCAGAGCCATGCTGGGCAGGGCTGGGCACCCGGGAGAGGTTTGCTGCAGCCAGACACAACCAGGGCCGGCACAAAGAGCCTTGGATTTCCTCATCTTATCTGCCCTTCCCACTTCTCTGCCCCTTCACCTGGGGAGGACGCTCCCCGGGGATGGCACCTCCTGCTCCTTCGCAGCGAGTGCTTCCTGCTCCAGCTTCCTCCTTCCTGCATCCTGCCCAGGCGGGCCCCTCTCTTTGTTCTGCCGGACCAAATGGCTTTTGGGGAGAGGAAGCCGATGGTTTTTCCCAGTCTTGTGTGTCAGGGCCTGGCTGCCCAATAACCCTGCCTGGCAGCTGCGGGCTCGCCCTCAGGAACCAGCCCCGGGCCAGGCAGACAGAGCTATTTTTAAATTCCTCATCCCACAGAGATTCCTCCATCCGTTGGCCTCCCCTCCCCTCCCCTCCCCTCCCTTCCCCCAATAGCTGCAGATATAGCGTTCACCTCTGTGCATGGCCCCCAGCACTGGGGAGCCCCTTGCCCCTCTCTCAGAGCCAGCACCCCAGGGAGCCCACGGTGAGCATGGCAGAGCAGCAGCAGCCAGGAACATCTCGCTGCCACAGCAGCCCTGCCCTGCCAGCTGCCCTGTGCCCAGGGAGGGATGCCCCTTCCCTCACCCATTGAGCTGAGACTTGTGCCCAGGACCTGCCCGAAGCAGCGAGGGCCTCCCTGCAGCAGTATGAAGGGGGGGCAGCCCTAGGGCTGGGTGCCAAGGGGACCCAACTGTGCCGTGGCCCCGCACCCTTGGCCTGTGCCCTGCCCCACTCCCGTACCTGCGCCGGCTGCCCCCGCGCTGGGCGTGGCTTTGAAGTGAGCAGTCTCCCGGCTGCCCAGGTCCTGCTGCGGGTACTTGGTGGAGGCCGCGGCTTTGGCGCTCTTGGCCCTGGAGAGTTTCTTCTGGATCCTGCTGCCGGGGCTGGGCTCTTTCCTGCGGAAGGGGCTGATGCCCGCTGGGAGCCCTTTGCTCTTCACTTTCTGCTTCAGCTGGGAGACCTTGTGAGCCGCCTTGGCAGCGAGTTTGCTCTGGGAGCTGCTTTTCTTGCACCGCACCTTGTCCTGCGTGGGCCGGAGACAGCACAGCCCTGAGCAGCCACCAGCCACCCCTGCGGGCCCACCCGACACACTCTGCCCTGCCGTCCGGCCCCTCACCAATGACTTCCCCCGTCCCCCGAGCCAGAAGAGGAGCTGGTCTTCCCAGCGGTGCTCATCCCTGCTCCTCCCGGCTGGGGCTGGCTGGAAATGGGGCCCCCCAGGCAGGGCCCCATGTGTGGAGCAACCAAGGCCCCCCAGAGACCCTGAGCACCGTGCCCAGCGCCCTCCCCCAGCATCCAGCTGGAGGCTCCTCTCTGGGGCAGGTGGTGTGGCTGGGCCAGGCTCTGGGCTGGCACCAGTTTGGCCCCCCATGTCCCTCAGCCAGCCCAGTGGGGCTGTTCCCGGCAAGAGCCTGCCAGCAGCAGACACTCACCTGGGCGCCCTTGAGGCCGCTGTAGGTCGCCTCAGCGATCCTGCTCCGCTTCCTCTTGGGCTCACTGTCACTCCGCAGCTCCGAGCACAGGAGGGACAGGCTGGTCTTCACGGCCCTGTGAGTGGGGGAGAGCAGCCCTCAGTGCACCGGGCATGCAGAGCCGCTGAGACACGGGCCTTGTCCCGGGGTGCCGGCAATCCAGTCCCGCCACCAGCCTGCCCACCCCGCCGTCTGCCCTAGCCTGCCAGGAACCCCACCCCGCCGTCAGTCCCACCCTGCCAGGAGCCCCGCCCCACAGCCAGCCCCACCTCAGGAACCCTGTCCTGCCGCCCACCCGGCTGCCCCAGGAATCCCAGCCAGCCTCCACCCCAATGTCAGCCCCACTGCCAGGCCCTGTGGCCCTGTGCAGAGCCTGACCTCCCAAGCTCCCTCAGCCAAGCACTCTCCCAGGAATGCTCCTAGCCCAGCAACACCAGCTCCCCACAGCCACTGAGCCTGGGGCCCTGAGCAGCACCATGAACTGCACCCAGCACCAGGCAGCCTAGGGGGGTGGGGGAGGGATCTGCCTTGCCTCCACCCGGCCCCTTTTCCCAGAGCCATGTTCTCTGGAGCCAAGGCCCGTGACAAACAGCTGGTGATGAGCCAGGTCCATGCTGGAGCGCAGAACCAGAGCGGCTCCAAACTCCCACCCCGGCCTGGCACTGGGTTCTTGTCCCAGCGATGCGACTGGGGGCAAGATGCCAGGTCTTTCAGTGCCTCAGTTTCTCACTGTATAAAATGGGGCTATTGTGACGTCTCTGCACCCCTAGAGGGGAACTGGGAGGCAAAATCCATTGTGGTACTTTGAGATCCTTTGAGAGGCTGCACAGACAATGCGAAGTGTTATTACCCTTCAGCCTCCCTGGCACTGGCCCTGTGCCCTTTCCTTCCCTGGCAGATGTATTGGGGACTGGGGGCGGGGGATGGGCTGCTTTGGGATCCCCCCACCCAACAATGAACACAATGCAGGCCGCAGCTGGGGCAGGCCAGATCTACCCCCCGCACCCCCACCCCGCAACTGCTCCCCTTTTGGGGGCGGGGAGTCCTCTCCCTGGGACATTCCTGGGCTTTTGTGCCTTCCTGCCACATTCCTCCAGAGCCCGTGAGGCGGCTGCTGCTGGAGCTAATTAATACGGGGGGGGAACCAGCTCCACGGACAATCGCCTCTTTCACCAAAAATGAATGGCCATCCCCAGCTGTCAGGGCGCTTTATGGGCACGGGGCTGGCAGGGGAAAGGCAGCTCCCACGTGGGGCTGGCCCGTCCCGTCCCGTCTGAGGATGTCAGTACTGCCACTGGTGAGCGGGGGGTGGGGAGACCCCCCCGAAGACTGTGGGAGATGCACAGGTGCTGCCCTCCCGGGGCTGGGGGCATTTATTACTGACTAATTACTTTAGTCATTAGACAGCAGTAAAAACCAGGCAGGGCCAGGGAGCGGCAGCTGGGCCCAAGGGGGTGGGGGATGGGTTGGGATGGGAAGCAGGTCACAAGTGGAGCAAGTTCAGTGGGTATCAGCCCCCCCTTCCTCCCGAGCACTCAGATCACAGCACCTCCCGGGGAGCAGCGCACAGAGACGCTGTGGGTCAGGGTGCCAGAACCAGCCACGCCCCCCCATCCCCACTGTGCAATCAGCTGGACAGACCCTGGGTCCCACAAAACACCAGTGCCCACCCTGGCGGTTCCACAACCCTGCCTGCGGCTCTGCGGGCACTGCCCGTGCATCTGGGCACGAGCTGGAGCGGCCACCCCACCGGGATTTCAAGCCCAGGGGTGGGTGTTGGAGAATGCCCCCACCCGGGGCTCCCTAAATGGGGCTAATTTACCTTCCCTGTTCATTTCTTCCCAGCGCTGCTGCCCACCCCAAACCAGGGCATCTCGCTGCTCCAAGGTCTGGCACCTGGAGCCCCTCCATGCCAGGAGCGGTGCTGAGCCCCAAACTCCAGGCAAGCTGACTTTGCTCCCCTGCCCTGGCGTTCCTGGCTAGGGTCTGAGGCTGTCCCCTGGCCCCGCAACCACAAGGCAGCTCCTGTTCACACTCCTCTGGCACGGCCTGACGCTTCCACTCAACCTTTTGACCCAGCGCCCTTGGGTGACCCTAGCACCCAGTGTCAGCTCCAGGCAGCAGGGAGGGAATCCCCAGCTAACCAGAGAGCCAGGAGGGGAGGCAGCAATGCTCCCAGCTCCCCAAGTCACCGGCCGGGGCCCTTGGGCCAGCCAGGGAGGAACAGGGCCCTGTGAGGAGATTCCACGGCCCAAGGCCACAGCTTTGCTCCAGGGGAGTGTCTGGCTTTGGGAGGCATCTCTGCTCAGACAGCTCTGCGCCCTTGGGGAGCTTGAGGAGGCAGGAATGTTAGTGATAGGACAGCAGCCAAAGGGCCAGAGCTGCAGCTGCGGGAGGAGCCTTTGTCGCATGGCTGTGGCCAAGATCCCACATGTGGCACACAGGAAGGGGCAGGGCCTGTGTGTGGGGCTGCAGACTCCCAGCCTGCAGAGGCAGATTTCCTGGGGTGCAGGGCCAGTGCATGTGGCAGGGGCATCTGTGCAAAGATGTGCGTGCACACAGGGTCACAAGCAGTGTGTGAGCTGGGGGGTGTCAGCACGATGGGTGCAGAGCATGCAGGTGTGCAGAGTGCAGGGGTGAGCACAGGGAGTCCGCCGCAAGGCCGTGTGTGGGTGCATGAACATGGGGCGTGGCTGTGTGCAGTGGGCGGGTCTGGCCAAGTGGAGGGTTGTGTGATTGTGCCCTTGTGTGTGTGCACTGGAGCACAGACGCGTCTGTGTGAGGATGAGCATGTCCATGGGTATGCACTGGAGCACACGTACGTGAGTGTGCCGGTCTGTGTGGCTGCATCCGTGCAGGACAGTGTGTGTATGAGCACACGCGTGTGCAATGAGCAGCAGGAACACGCCTTCGTCTGGCCACCGCCCGGGTAAATGGCACAGACCCATCTGAGGTTCCTGTTGGGTTCTTTATCAGCAACTCCAGGAAAGCAAAAGCTCCAGTGACTCTGGCCCATGCACCAGGAGAGGGAAGTGGCCAGATCTGGAGCTGGGAAGGAATTTCCAGGTATGCCAGTCCCCTGGCCTGGGCCTCACCATGGCATTTTCTGCCCCTCCTTCCCCACCAGAGAGCTGGCAGCTCGGGCAGTCCTGGCCCGGCTTCTCACACGAGGGCAGTCGTGCTCAGCCCAGGTATCTGTGGAGGAGCCTGGAAGCCCTTTTCTCCAGTCACCAGAGGACACAGACCTGCTACAGGCAGTGCGGGGCTGATAGGCGGGGCACTCCAGCGGTGCCAGTCGGGCAGCGCATGGTGTCTCTGGGTGGGACTCTCCTCCCAGGGAGCTGGCCCTGTGTTCAGCGTACTGTTTTTCTGAGGGCTGCAGAGCTTTGAGGATGGGGGTGGGGGAGATTTCTCCTCTTTCCCCTGGACTAGGCGGAGGGATCAAAACCAGTTGTCCAAACAGCCCAGGAGAATTCCCACCAGCCATATGGTCGAGCCATGTTGCAACCCTAAGCCAACACGAACTGCTTTTTTTTTTTTTTTTAACTCTAACCTTCACTCCATTTGCTAATGTTTTGTGACATAAAACCTCGAGATTAATTTTTTTTCTCTGTCTTAATTGAAGGAACCATTTAGTACAGATTTAACTATTATTACCAAATCATCAGGATTGATGCACTGCATGCACACACTCCAATCATGTTTGGACTAGCTCGGAGGATTTATGCAAATGGGCCTGCCGGGAGAGGCAATTTGTAGCAGAGAAGGACAATTATACAGGGCCCGTGAGTGCGAGAATGACTGCGCCGGGCGGCTAATGGATAATAATAAAGCGCCAGCAGCAATGAACAGCACTGCAGCGTGACCAATGACTTTATACAGCACAGATAAAGAGGCTTTTATGCAACGCTGCCTTCCCCTTCGAAGCAGGGGGGCTCCCTGGAACAGTGCAGGCAAGTCGGAACCGCTCGGCTCGGCGATGGGCTGGGGAGGGAGCACGCCGTATAGGGAGGAAGGAGGAAGCCAACCTTGCAGCCAGCCAGCCCTTTCTTCAGCCCCATTTGGATCCCAGCGCGCTCTGCCGATTGCACACACGGTGACCGCATCTCCTGCCCCCAAAACACTGCCGTTTCTGGGGATGAGGAGCCATGAGGCGGGCAGTGCGACGCAGAAGCAGGAAGGAGAGCAAGGACACCAGGACATGCTCCTGCCGAGTGCAGGGGGCCGCAGGTTTATAGTCCCAGTTGAGGCCCACACACACACAAGGCAGTGCCCAGCACTCGGCGTGCCCCCACCAGGCCCTGAAGGGCTCTCTGCCCTGGGGGCTTTCAGCCTGGGGCTCGCTAAGACAGCCAAGCAGGGGCGCCCAGAGACACATCTACCATGCCGGGGATGGGGAATGAGCCCCCACCCTCGCATGCCACAAGGCAATGTATGCAGCACACCCCCTGGAGCCACAGCACAGGGCTTCCTGGGGCCGAGCGACCCCCAGAGCCAGGGGCCCCAGCTGCTGGCATAGCCCCATAATCCCTCCCCGAACAGCACCACACGCAGCGTCACTCACTTGACTTTCCTGCCGTCAGCCCTGCTGAGCGTGTTGTTCTGCCGCAAGGTGCCGAGGGTGCTGGAGTGCTTCCGTTTCCTCGGCCGCCCCGGGCCACGCCGCGCCGGACTCCGCGAGCTCTCGTCGTGCCTGTGGGCACCAGCCACAACAAAAGCAGAGTGATGCCAGGAGATTCCCTGAGAACTCGCCCCCTACCTGCCCTCTGCTCTGGGCTCCTGAGTCTTCTCCACTGACTGGCTCATTGCATGAAGTAGGCTGAGAACGGCCCCAAACTCATCACACCAGTGACTTTTCTCCTGCCTTGTTTTTCTGCTGCTATTTCAGGTTCTCCTTGGGGCTCTGACACCTCCTGGAACACCGGGCAGTGTTTCCTTTGTGCCGGCTTCCCCCCGCTCCGCCCCACCTACCCCACACCCCATCCCCTGCCCCTTTCACAGACTGGCCTCCTGGCCCATGCCCTGCTGTCACTGTGGGAGGGGGTGGGGCTTTAAAAGGCCAATGGGCAGGGTGCGCAGAGGGGGACGTACTCATGGTCATGCCGTCGCTGCAGTTTCACCAGCTCCCGCTGTTTCTCCTTGTAGCGGCGCTGCAGTTCTGCCAGCCGCAGCCGCATCTCCACCTCCTGCGTGTCCAGCTGCTCTATGGCGGCCTTCAGGGGGCAGACCTGGCGGGGCAGGCCCAGCGTCAGCGTGAGGCAGGAGAGCCAAGGGCCTGCAGGTTGGGCGGCCAGGCATCATGTCCCCAGCTGCTCCCTTCGTTGGCATCACCAGCCTGGCCCCCCTTCTCTGCCTGAACCGGCCTTTGGAGCCCAGCAAAGGGCCAAGGGCAGCAGCAGCTTCGGCTGCCCGGTGGGGAGAAGCCCGGGTGCATTCCCCTTGCAGCTGGGACAGCCCCTCTCTCCAGGATCCCAGGTGCAAGGGGGGATCCATCTGTCAGGGACGGGCCACGCCACCCAGCCAGCAGGTCCCCATGGCTCCAGTTCTCATCGTCCCAACAGGGCGAGGCACCTGGGCCCCTCAGGGAGGAGCCCGATGGGTGACCCTGGCGAGACAGGGAGCGCCCTGGAGTCCCCATGTGCCAGGGAACGCACTTAGCTCTGGAGTGTGGCAGGAGCCGGACAGGGCCCTGGGCAACCCCAGACTAAACGCTGGGTGGGCCCTTCGACTGTCGGTGGGCCCAGGGCCCCAGAGGCCAAAGGGAGGCTGGGGGAGAGAACACGGGGCTCCCAGGAGCAGAGAGAGATGCCGCCATGGGGCCCTGGGGCTCAGAGAGGGGAAAGGGCTTGGGGGCCTTTCCCTAGGGGTTGCTGGTTGGAATCCAGGCTGGCGCGTGGCTCGGGGGGGCCCTGGCATGTACTGCAGAGGCTGGGGGGGCAGCACTGGCTGGGCAGCAAGGTTGGCACTCACAGGTTTGGGTTTGGGAGTCCAGGTGTATTTCCGTCGCAGGCCCCGTGTGCGGGGGGCCAGGGGGGTCGCCAAGGGGCTGAGGCAGGGAGGACTGCTCTCTTCACCGGCCGCCTCCACCAGGGCAGCAATGGTCGCCAGGTTCCGAAGGTTAACGGCCACCAAGTCTTCGTCCTCTGCTGTGGGGAGCGGAGAGGTCAGGGGAAGCAGAGCTGCCCCCCAGCAGGGATCAGCCCTCCCCGCTGTCTCAGAGGCACTCAGTTCATTAGCTAACAACCCCACTAGCCCACCCCGCAGCACCGAGCAGGGAAGGAGCACAAAGTGGGGTCCAGCCCCCGAGGGCCCTTTTGCAGCCCCGAATGTCAGCGCCTGCTGGCAGACCCAGCCAGTTGGTATAGATTGCACCAGGCTCCAGAACCTCTGCCATGGGCATCGGCTACCTCCCCTCCCTGCGCTGCCCACTGCCTGGCTCCCTGCCCCGGGCCAAGCCTGGCACTCTGCGGCTGTTTATTTCTGGCATGCCGAGCAGCAATCCAGCCGAGGGGAGTTTACAGGGACACCAAATACCTTGGCCTGAGGGTCCTGGCAGCCACCTGGCGGGGGGCTTTTCCAGGCCAAAGGTTGTGTGATGGCAGGCAGGAGTCAGGGTTGGCTATGGGAGGGAGAGGGGGAGGCAGAATGGGGGGAGAGCTTGGATGTGGGGGGCAGCCAGCCAGGCCTCATCCCAGGACAGGCTCCAGGGGGCAGGGTCCTGCAGGTGCGGCTGGGGGGGGGCGTGCGGGATCGGGGTCCCGTGGGTGTGGCTGGTGGGGAGGGGGCAGGGTCCCGTGGGTGCAGCGGGGGGGGGAGAGGACAGGTTCCCCAGGGCCCAAGGCAACATAGCTTCTCCCCAGGCTGGTCCGTGCTGGATCACTGGAACGACAAGGCCCAGGGACAGCATGATGCCGGAGGCAGGGGGGGTTCAGCACCAGGGTCTGGCCCATCGACTGGGCTCAGGAGCCAGGCTCAGTGAGGACGGCTGCGCCCATGCGTGTACGTGTGATTGGCATGGGCTGTGTACGAGAAGCGAGTGCACACATGGCGGGCAGCATGGGGAAAGCTGTGTGCTCCGTGCGCGGCTGGGCGAGTGACGCTGGCTTTGGCCACACCTGTGTGAAAGGCGTACTGCGGGTATGCTCCTGCCGAGGACCCGTGCACATGCGTGCAGGGGTTTGCTGGCCTGGCACGCTGAGCACGCCTGTGCGTGTGACAGTGCGGCCTTGATGGGGAGGGCGCAGACACGTGCAGGCGGGTGGGCGCGTGTGCATGGCGTGACAGTGGGAGCAGGCGGGAATGCCTGCGTGCGGTTTCCGTTCCGTTGCGGGCACAGGGCGGGCGGGTTCTGGGAACAGTAACCGTCTGAGCAGAGATGAAAGGAACAGACTTTCCTTGGCCGAACGACTGTGGGAGGCAGGAGAACCGTCAGTGCACAGCAGAAGATTATTTATAGCCCTGCAGTGACGGCGGGCTAGGAGGGCCCGTGGCGTGGCGTGGGGCCATGTGAGCGGGATGACTGGGCTAGGCTGGCTGGGGGGCCATGTCTGTGGGTGTGGAGCCCCCAGTAACCTCAGCTGCTAGCAGCAGCCAAAGCCCTGGAGTGGGGATCTGGTGACCCAGGCCTGGCCCACCTGTGCTCTCCAGGAAACCTGTATCTACCAGGGCCAGGCCAGACACAGCTGGGCAGGGGAAGTGGGGGGTGATGCTGGGTTGTTTTGGTTCCGCATGGTGCAGGAGTTGGGGGATTTTCTACCTCTAGAATTTAAGGAAATAAACAACTCGATCCCAGAGACAAAGTCCCGGCAAGCTCCCTGCACCCTAAGCGCTGCGCCCTGTGGCCAAACCCCCGTGTGCTGGGTGCCAATTCCCTGCCCTCCAACGCCTCATTCCCTGCCCTCCGACGACCCTTCCCTGCCTTCTGATGCCCCATTCCCTGCCCTCCGATGCCCATTCCCACTCCAGTGCCCATTCCCTGCCCTGGCTCTTGCTGCAGTGGGGTTTTGGGTTTCCTTGTTCCTGCCAGGACACCCAGGTCCCCAAAAGGATCCCCAGCCCTAGAGTGGGGAAAATCCCATCCTCAGGACAGGATGCTCCCCCAAGTCTGTTCCCTGGGGCTCAGAGATGGGAACGGCTTTGGGGGGCCATCTACTCCCTTCCCTTTTTTTCATATAACTGGGGCCATGCCCAGGGGGTTCCTCCTTCTGCTCAGAGCTTGGTGCCCCTTCTCGGATCCTCCTCCTCCCAGAGCCCTGGCTCAGGAACCCCCCTGGCCTGGCAGCGAGGGGCCAGGCTGAGCAGGGAGCCCAGGAATCCCAGGTGTCAGGGGAGAAGGGACACTGGACCTGAAGACTGGCACCCCACCACCTTCCCAACTCCTGCCCCCAGGGGACATCCCCGGTGCGCTGCACCTGTGCCCACTGCGAGCAGGATGGGGGTGCCTGGCCGCGGTGAACTCTCCTTTCTGGGTGACTGGAGAGCGACCTGCGCGTTTGCCGCTCTCCAAACACAGCCTGCAGCTCACCCGGGCCAGGCAGACCCCTCTCTGCGGGGGGTTTTCCTACACGCAGAGCACCCTGGCATCTGGCAGGGCAGCCACCCACCTGCTCCGCTGCACGCCCCGAGGGGCATGCCAGGGACCCAGCCACATCCTGCCTGTATGGGACACGGAGCCGCTCGGCCAAGGTCCGCTAGGGAGCAGCCTATGTCTGGGGGAAACGGGCCCGGAGACGGGCAGAGGGCAACCAGTTGGACAAGGGCTTGAGGGCCAGGCCAGGTAGGGGGCACTACCAAGACAGAGCAGGGCCACGCTGGGACCTGGCTCCTCACCTCTCTCCAGGGGCTGCCCCCTGGGCTCTGGGTGTGATCCTTCCCCCGTGTGTACCCCCTCCAGCAGGGATGCCCACGTGCTGCTCTAACACCCCGCCCCCGGTGTGGCTGGGTCTGGCCCGGGCAGGGGGAGGTGTGCTTTCCCTGCTCCCTACCTGAGCGCCCCAAGAACCCCTGGGTATCCCCAGCAGGGGGAGGAGACCAAGGCAAAGGACTGGGGGGGAGTTATGTGGACTGGGGAGGAATCTGGGGGACACTAAGCTCTGGGGCCTCCCCCTGGCAGCAGAAAGCAGAGCTGGCTCAGTCCCCTCCCTCTCCAGCCCCCTCTCTGCCTTGAGGAGCAGGCGTGCGAGCACAGGGTGGGGGGCCAGGCAGGCTGGGGGAAGAGGGTCTCCCCAGCTGAAGGCAGTGATTCCGGTATCCCAGCCCCATGCCCCCCAGGTTCTCTGCACCCCATATCCCAGGCCTGTGGGGAAATGAACATCCCAAGAGAACTGAGGGTGCTGGCGCTTTGTGCTGGGCAACAGAGCTGGCAGTGCTGGTAGCCGGGGGTCTCCATTGCCTCTAGCGAGCCAGGGAGCTGGGTCGACCCAGCCAGCCCCCAGGGACTAGCCCCTGCCGCCTTTTCAGAGCCAGGATGGTGCCTGTCTGCACTGGGCCACTGCCCCGCGGTGGCCGCCCTGACACCCTATGCAGCCACCCCACCCAATGCCAACCCCACTCTGCACCCGTCCTGATGCCAACCCTGCTCTGCAGCTGCCTGGCCCAGTGCCAACCCCACACTGCACCCACCCCACCCCATACCAACCCTACACTGCACCTGGCCCGATGCCATCCCCACCCTGTGGAGTGGAGGGGTCAGAGCGCACAGGGGCTGCAATGGGGGGGCTCCCAGCCCAGGGAGGGGCCCTATGTAAGGCTCGGGAGGAGGGTGGCAGCTCCTTACCTCCCACCGCCGCATCACACCTCTGCCGCTGCAGCTCCAGGTCGGCCAGCTCGCTGAGCAGGGTGATCCCTGAGCTGCATGGACAGGGCGAGGGGGGAGCCGCTGGGGGGGCCATGCTGGGTGGGCTCGGGGCCGGGAGGTCTCCCAGGTCGATGCCCGCGATGATCAGTGCGTCCAGCCCGCTCAGAGAGCCCTGGAGGCCGCTGCCCGCCCGCAGGAGGCTCAGGGAGTCGCCTTCCTGCTCCTCTTCGCAGCCGGCCTCCCGCCCCGCCGCGTGCTCCTCCCCAGCTGCATCCTCCGAGGCCTTCGGGGTGGGGCCTGCCTGTGCCCCCGTGAGCTGCGCTGCCCCCGGCTGCTCCTCCAGGCCCCCGCTCTCCTCTGGAGCTCCCTGAGCCGAGGCCAAGCTGGGCCCCCCCAGCGTTGGGCCGTAGGGCATCTCTCCCAGCTCCGCCACCGGGCCCCGCCCTGACGCTGCCCCCACCAGCTCCCCGGAGGCCTGCCCCGGGGGGAGGAGGAGGAGGTGGTGATGGAGATGCTGGCCCATGGCAGCCTGGGCCTTGGGCTCGGCCGTGGCACCCTGCGCCGCCCGCCCGGCCTCCTCTAGCGGGCCGCTGGCCCGGCACGGCTCCTCCGTGGGAGGGAACGTCCGGGACTGCTCGGGCTCGGCCGCCGGGGAGACGCTTTGCATCGTGTCAGGGTCGGCCGGCTCGGCGGCGTGCACGGCCAGAGGCGAGGAGTAGCCCATGCTGACGGCGGGGTAGCTGTATCCAGGCGGCAGGTCTGTGGGGCAAGGCAGAGCAGTCAGTGAGGGCAGGGGAGGGGACCACGCACCCCACAGCGCCAGGGGCCAGCCACAGCCCATCCCCAACGCTTTCCAGGAGAGGGCTCTGACCCCCGCCACCCTACTCAGTATCTGGAGGTCTCCCACCCTTGAGGCCCTTGCCTGGATGTTCCCCCTGCCCTCTCCCATCAGCCCCATGGGCCTGCCAGCTGGTCAGAGGCGCCTGGTGTCTGCCTGCCTGGGATCCCCAGCCCCGAGCCACCAGGGGCCCAGGGGACGTGTCTAACTGGCCCACCCGTTTGCCAGGTCTGTGCCTCCCAAGCTGGGACAAGGGGGGTGTGTGGGATGACTCGATAGGCCCCTCTGATCCCAGGTAGCCCCTCAGGGGGGCCAGGCCACCCCCTGCCCGGCCTGCTCCCCGCCGGAGCTCCCCACCCCAATCCTCTGGCCCGGCAGGCAGGCCTCAGCCGATGCTGGGGAAGGGGAGATGGCTGCAGTCCAGGCACCGAGCCCCATTAACCCTGCTGGCGGGTGTCCCCATGGTAACCCTGGGACCAGATGCTACGTCCAACACACGGTTCCAATGTAAATGCTGGCGGTGATGCCAGCTAAGTTAAATGCCCTTGTCTGAGGGCTGGCAGGGCCAGCGGCTGGCACAGGGAGGGAGCTCGGGCAGTGGGAGGCACATACGGCCCACAAGCGCCTGGTGGATTCCTGGGGCCAGATCCCTAGCGGGCACCAATCAACTCCAGCCCCTCTGCCTGCCCGGGCACTGGGCCACTCCATGGCGGGCTGCACCGGACAGGGAGGCTCTGGCCTCGCTGACGCCCCATAGGTCCCCTTAGGCTTCTCTCCCACAAACAGGGCTGACTGCCAAACGCCCCCCATCCCACCCATCCCAGCATGGAGAACCAGGGCCACCAGGGCACCTCATCCTGCCCCCGGTGGCCCTGAGCTCCCCCGACCCCACTGGCCTCATCACCACGATGCCCAGCTGCTGTCCTGACAAGGCTGGATCCTTCTGGCCAGCGCTGGGACAGGCCCTCAGCATGGCCTCCCCCCGCCCCACGGCCAGAGGCCCCAGCTCCCCACCCCACAGGACTGCCCTCAGGCACACGAATGGGTTTGGCCCCATTGTCTGCCTCAGGACTCAGGCCCCGGCACTCCAATGGCTCCCATCCAACCCCAGCCCCAGCATGCTTCCCACCTGGTTCCAGCGACTTGGGGTAGCCCCTGGGCGGCTGCCCCTCCACCCGCTTGTCTTCTGCTTCGTTGCCCTTGTTGCTGGGCGAGGGGCTGGGGCTGGCGGGCGGGGAGCGCGGGGCAATGGCTGAGCTGGGGGCCGGGCAGACGGGTAAAGTGCAGGGGGCGGCAGGATGCGCCGAGGGGCATTTTGATGGGTGCCGCAGGGCGGGCGAGTGGCAGCAGGGTGAGAGCTTGGCAGGGCAGGGGGCCGCCGAGGAGAGGCCCTTGGTGGGGGGCGTTAAGGCAACTGGTTTGTGGGACGGCTTGAGGGGCTTCTCGTGGCCTGGCTCCTCCAGCTCGCCAGGCTGCTCCTCCGCCTTCCGCTGTGGGGCAAGGACACAGACAGGTCAGCCCCACGGCCCAGCTCTGGACAGGTCACCCCACAGCCCAGCCCCATACCCCGGACAGGTCAGCCCCAGGGCCTAGTCCCAGCCCCACACCCCAGACAGGTCAGCCCCAGGGCCTAGTCCCAGCCCCACACCCCAGACAGGTCAGCCCCAGGACCCAGCCCTATGCTCCAGACAAACTGGCCTCACGCCCTAGCCCGACACTCACCCCAGAGAGACCAGATGGCCCCAGCCTGGCTTGCCCAGTGCTGGCTCCCCAGGCGTGAGGCTGCCAGGGGCTGGGAGGAGCCGTGTACCTGCACCTCCCTCCTCCGAACACCCCCCCACCCTTCCCCGCCGGCCCCCTGCCCCCGACCTGGATCTGCGACTGCCTCTGCAGCTCCAGGGCTTGGGCCGCCCGCTGCTGCTGCTGCAGGGCGTAGAGCTCCTGCTGCCGGAGGAACTGCGAGCGCGAGTAGACGGGGAGCTGGCCCGCGTGCTGCAGGTGGGAGCTGGGGCCCCGGCCCGGGTACATGGGCGGCCACAGCGAGGCCTGGTCCATAACATCAGCTGCCGAGAGAGAGCAGGGGGTTAGACAGCGCCTCAGCCCAGCCATGCCCCCCTCTCCGATGAGCCCTTGGCCGAGGGAATCCGGGCGAGAGGGAGCCAGGCGCTGGGCCCAAGCTTCGCAGGGGGCAGCGTCTCCCCTGGCGGCTGCCCTTACCCAGCGTGTGGGGGGCGCCGTGGGCTGACGGCTCTGTGGGCAGGATGACCAGCTGCGCTGGGGGGTCCTGGGGAAGGGGGAACACGGACTGCATGGTGCTGGGCATGGAGGCAGGGAAGCCGGGCGGCAGGTTCTGATGCAAGGCCGGGTGGCTGATGCCTGTGGAGGGAACAAACACAGAAGGGTCATAGGGGCTGGTGTAGCCAGAGGCACCTTCCCAGCAACCCACTCTAGAGGGCTGGCACCATGGCCAGACTCAGGGACTTGTCAATGACAGACCCGGGCCGGGCAGCGAGCCCCCGGGCCACGCGCCAGGCTCCGTGTGGCAGCTGGGACGCCCAGACCACGGCTGCTGGGAGCTGAGTTAGAGCAGGAGCCGGAGGAGTCTGGAGGACTCTAACCCCAGCGAGCCCTGGCTCCGATTCACAGTGCCTGCGAACAGGAGGCCAGGGCGGGTGCAGCAGGGGATTGAGGGGCGCCAACAGAGGTGTGTGGCTGGCAGCATGCCCAGCCCCCGTGATGCCAGGGCCCAGATGGGCCCAAAGACCTGGAGTGAAGCCAGGGGCCCCATCTCCCCAGCAGCGGCCAGCTGGCCACGCCCTGCACTGACCATATGAGTGTCCCCCCATCCAGATGGAGGGGCTGCGCGTCCGGGGCAGCCAGTGCGTGTGGGCCGGGTGTGCGTGGGCTGTGGGGTCCCCACCCAACTGGCCGGCCTGGAGGGAGGAGCCGCCGGCAATCATGAGGTGGGGGGTGAGATCGCCCGGGCAGCCGCTGGATGGGTGGATCCTGGCAAAGTCCACGAGGTCTTTGTTCTCCCTGCAAAACAAAGGGGAGACACAGAACAGGGTGAGAGGGGCCACAGGTCAGCCTGGAGCCATCTGTACTAACCGTGCCCATTGCTCCCCACCTCTGCCCACAGCTGCCCCCATCGCTGGAAACAGAGACAAGATGCCTGGTGACAACGCGGGCACCTGGCTGCCCCCAGGCATGGTTCCAGGCATGCACCATGCCGGTCACTTGTCCAGCCGGCTCTGGGCTCCCTCTGCCTCGTTAGCCAGGATGGGACCAGCCCGAGGCGCCTGCACTGGGCCAGCTGCCATGTGAGTCCCACGCTGGGCCCTGAGCCAGAGACATGCGCTCGGCTCCATGCACATAGCAGTTCCCAGGGAGGGTCCGCCCCACCCCTGCTCTACAGGTGGGAAATGGGGGGGCCGATAGACCCCCACCCAAGGCCACACCCATGGCAGAGAAGGGAGCAGAACCCAGGTGTCCTGGTGCCCTGCACCCCTGGCCTGTGCTGCCCAGCCCCGGAGCTGCAGGGTCTGGGAGTGACAGGGTTTGCGTCCAGCTCCGAGATTGCTGCCTCCTTCCCTTGTTCCTTGCAGCTGCGAACGGGCCCAATCCTGGGGGGCTGAGCACCGTTGGGCCCCAGCAAGAGCTGCCAGCATGCTGCACCATTCCAGATTGGGCCCATGGTTTGTAGAATGAAGCTAGAGACTTTGGCGCAGCCTAGCCCCCCTCCGGCACCCACCCACTGCCCAAGCCCATTACTGGCCCTGCTCCAGCCAGGACCCAGAGGCCTTGGGGGCCACCCATGGCCCATTTAAGACCCAGGGCAGAGAAATACCGGGGACGTGGGATCCGGGCAGCCCCGGAGGGGGTGGGGGAGGCCAGCCAGCCTGAGTTTCCTGCCGGCGTGTGCCAGGGCGCGCTGGCTTCTTACTGGAGAAGAAGCTCTCGGCCTGTGATCCCCAGTCGCTCCTCGCACAGGCGGCTCCGCTCCTCCTCCGCCTCCAGGTCGATGACGTGCATGGGTCGCGCTGAGCCGGCTACAGGCCACCCCGCAAGAGGGAGATGAGAGAGAGAGAGAGACGTGAGGGACAGAATCCCTCACCCCGTCTCCGCCCCCCCACAGGGTGCAGGCCAGGCACGCGCCTCTAGCCCTGGGTTCCCATGTTCATCAGGACACACGTGACGGGGTCTGAGCCTGCCCCTGCCTGTGCCCATCTCACCCCCCGGCTGGGGCTGCCAGGCGCTCTCGACAGGACACTGCACAGGGCTGGGAACCTGAAGGATGGGACTAAGGAGCACCGACAGGGCTGTGCGGGGCAGGGCTCGGCTAGCAGGGCTGTGGGTTGGGACTGAGGGGCACTGGAAGAGGTGTGGGGGGTAGGGCTGGGGTGGGCAGGGGCTGTGGGTCGGGACTGAGGGGCACCGGCAAGGCTGTGTGGGGCAGGGCTGAGCTAGCAGGGGCTGTGGGTTGGGACTGAAGGGCAGTGGAAGGAGTGTGGGGGGCAGGGCTTGGATAGGGGGGCTGCGGGTTGGGACTGAGGGGCCACCGGTAGGGCTGGGCTAACAGGGGCTGTGGGTCGGGGCTGAGGGGCATACACTGACTGGCAGAGCACTGGTGGGGAGGGCTCAGGATGGAATAGCGGGGGGGCTTTCAGCCGAGGGTGACACTGGGCTTTGGGGGAGGAAAACAGAGAGAGGGGCTGATGGGTGGGGCCCAGGGGACTGTGCAGCCCGCAGGGGGCAGCAGGCTTGAGTGCAGGGTTCCCTGGCCTGTCAGTGCTTTCCCCTGGGGACGGCCATGCCCCTCCCAGTGAGGCTCCGGGCAGAGGCACGGGGGCCGTGAACTCGGGGCAATGCCAGCCGGCAATAAGAACCGGATGCTCACGGTTTCTGGGAAGCGCCCTCCCCCCACCACCGGCCCTGCGGACAACCCCCACCGTTGCTGCTCCTCCCAGGCATGGGGCTGCCCATCCCCGGGGCGGCGTGTGGCTGGCCTGGCCCCGTTACCTTTCAGGCCCACGGTCGCCCGGCCCTGCCGGCTGGAGTTGGCGCCGTATGAGGGCTCCGGCCGGCTCAGCGTGTCCTTCTGTCGCGCCACCGCCACAGCGATGCCCACGGGCGGCTGCCGCACCTCGCCCTCCCCGTGGGCCAGCTCGTGGTCTCTGCTGCGGGCACAGTCCGGCCGCTCCAGCTCCTGCTGCCCTTTGCCCCCGGGGAATTTCCCGTCCTGCTGGGCGCAGCTGCCCTTGAGGGTGCCCAGCCCCACGAAGGGAGCCTTCTGCCCCACGATAAGTGCTTGGTTGCTGTATTTCAGCAGGTTCTTCATGGCCGACACCTCGTCAGGGGGGCTCTGCATGTCCTGGCTCAGCACCGAGCCCTGAGTCATCAATGCAGCCTGCTGCAAACTGGTGCTGAAGGGGTCGAGATAGGAGCTCTTCCTCTCCTCGCCCATGGGCATGGGCGCGCCCTGCCCCTGCATGCCCCAGGGGGGCAGGGGGGCTCCGTTGTAGCCCATCGACTTCCTCCTGGCCTCGGAGCCGCTCCCCGCCAGCTCCAGCTCCGGGGGCACGTGCTGCTGGTGCCGTATCCGCGCCACCTTCTGCACGCTCTGGCCCTGGCAGTCCTTGGAGCCCTTGTCTAAAGTGCAGCAGGACTGGCTGAGTTTGACGCACAGGGCGTCCTGGTGGCTGGCGCGGGAGCAGTCCTGAGACGGCGCCACCTCGAAGTAGCTGCCTTTCTCCAGGCCCCCCTTGGGTGCCTGGGGCAGGCTGGGGAAGGGGGCCTCGGAGCCGCCACTGTTCAGGTACTCCAGGCCTTTCAGCCGGGCGTTGGAGCTCTGCACCCACTCCAGCCTCCGCTCCGCCTTGCCCTCCACCTTGAGATGGTGGAAGGAGTTGCTGTAGGCGCCCGTGTGCTCCGAGCCCATCTCGTGCCTTTCCTTGGCCTCGCCGCGCTCCAGGCTGCAGGCCTCGGACGCCACCTGGAAAGACCGGCTCTTGTCGGTTAAGTGTCCCACCGACGGCACGAACGTGGCCCCGCTGAGCTTCAACTCGCGCCCGGCTTTGTCCTGCAAGGGGCACAGCCCGTCGGGGCCGGAGTGGAGCTGCAGGCAGGGGAAGGTGGCGGCCGAGGTGCTGAGTGGGGGCGGGATGGCGGGCAGGCTGGACGGGACGGTGTAGGAGACCGAGTGGTGCAGCATCTGGCGCTGCTCCAGGCACTCGCTGTAGGGCTGGGGCGACTCGTGGGGAGCCAGCTCCCACTCCGACCTCAGCATGTCCTTGGGGCAGCGGCTCTGGGCCATGGCGGTGCCGGCGTGCCGGGGCAGGGCACCGCCCGTGCAGCTGGGCAGCACAGCCTTGTGGGCGTCACCATTGAGCATTTTGGAGCTCAGGAGGCAGGAGTTGAGGTGCTTGGCCCGGTTCTCGCACGAGCTCCTCTGGTGGACCCCCTCCTTGCAGTGCCCCTCGGGCGTCATGGGCAGCACCAACTTGTGCCGCTCCTTCACGTCCTCCTCCGCCGGCCTCTCCTTGGCCTCCCCCTTGCCCGCCTTCTCCTTGGCCAGGAGGTAGCGGTCGTATTCCTTGTGGCTCTTCAGCCCATGGCTGGCCTCGCGGTCACGGCTGCAGGACCCAATGGGGTGGCCGGGGGCTGCCCGGGCAATGCTGGGGAAGTTGTGGTTGGCTGACAGCAGGGTGGGCTGGGCTGGCAGGTTCCGCAGGTAGAAGTTATCTGGGGGGGCAAATGCAGCCGGTGAGCGTGGGGCCTTCTGCACCGAGGGGCGCCCGCCTCCACACGGGGCCCAGGACCCGGCCCTGGCTTGGCTGGACGCTGGTTGTCTCCCCAGCGCTCACCCACCATCAGGCCCCGCTGACCCTGCGCTACGCTGCAGCCCCCTTCGCCCACAGGAGGCATTCGACGTCTCAGCGCCATGGCAGTCGCCTCAGCGATGCTGGAGCCCACCCCGGCAGCACCCCCATTCCGCAGCCTCCTGGCCCCAGCCCTCCCCACCCCAGCACCCTTCATCCCAGCTCCCTAATCCTCCCCCCAGCACCCCCTTATCCCAGCCCCACAGCCCTTCCTGCCGCAGCACCCTTCATCCCAGCCCCCTTAGTCCCCCAATCCTCCCCACCCCAGCACCCCCAACCTTCCCAATCCAGAACTGCCACTTCCATTAACCCACCCTCCCCCCCGCTCAGCACCTCCACAAATCGCCCCACCCCCCACCAGAAGTTCCCCACTTTTTGGTGCGAGCACCTGAAAAAAACCAGCCTGTTGCCCAAATCCCTCGATCCTCCGTCCCAGCACAGGGCTAAGGGCTGGGCCGGGGCATCGCAAACCAACCCACGGCCTGCACTGCCCAGGCCGTCTCCCTGTGTGGGCTTGCGTGCTGCCCCCTCCTGCCACGGCCAGGGGGCGAGGGGGACTTGGCCCTTCCTTTGCCACATGCAAAGACCGGGGGTATCTCTCCATCAGCTGGGGTAACCAGCCCTGCTCCACCAGCATCAGTGGGCCAAATCCCCAGCAGGAAGCTCTCGCGGGGCACAGGCTTGTGCCAAGAACTCCAGATGGCTTCCTGCCTCTTCCCCCCGGGCTCGGCTGGTCCCCTCCCAGGGCACCCCGGCAGCCCCTCCCCGCCCATTGCCTTGGGGCCCAGGAGCCCGGCCACTGGGGCACAGATTCCAGGCTGGGGGACCCTGCCCCTGCCCCTCCTGGTACCTGCCTTTCTGGCTTTCGTAGAACCGATGCTGGCTGTAGAGGACGTTGCTGTTTCCATGGTGATCCAAATGGCTCATGGGAAGGAAGGTGGAGGCCAGACTCCCCGAGAACCTGGGGTACCCCGGAGCTGGGGAGACAGAGCGAGCGAGTGAGCCGGCCCCACGGTGGGGCACAGACGGGCAGGCAGGTCATGAGCACAGCACAGGTGCCCGCGCGCAGGCCAGTGGGACGCCCTCGGTAAATGGTACCACCACCACCACCAGTGCATTCTTCTGTCATAAGGCTTAGCCCTGCTGCCCATCCCCATAGCATCTGGGCACCCCCTCCAGATGGGCCACAGGAACACCAAAGCCTGCATGGACAATCCAGGCTCCTGGCCCTTCTCCCTGGGCGGGTTGCTGCTGTCAGGGCTCTGAACGGGGCCCCCAGAGCCAGGTCCCTGCTCTCCACAGAGCCAGCAGTCAGACAGCCCCACCCCACCCAGCTCCGGCCGGCGGGAGATCGCCCTGGGGCCTTTAGCTGCGCACGCTGGTGACATGACACCCTTCCCCGCCCTTCGCACCTGGGCCCCCTGCGCGCAACCCCCCCCCCCGTGCGCAGGTGCTGGGGTGACGCGGGGGGCAAGGCAGGAGAGAGCCAGCGGAGAGGACACAGTCCCATGGTGCTTCAATCAATCCCCCGGATGCCAGTCTTGTGGCGGGGGCAGATCTGGTCAGTGCACCTGCAATTGCACAATGCACCCCCCCCCCGCGCTAGCCCATCCCGATCTCCTCTTGGCGTGTCTGCCCAGCGCCCTGGCAGCCCTCACAAGAGGGGGAGCGAGCTGGCACGCACATGAGTGCTCAGCTCGCTGGCTTCTGTGCACTTGCCCCTGCAAGCTGGACAGTGCCTCAGTACCGGGGGATTGTGCTGTACCCTCCCCGTGCTCTCCAAGGCCAAGGGACCAGCACGGGGCACCTGGTATTTCTCCATGCACCAGAACCTGTGCCCGCACAGACCCTTGGCACCACTCAAGCCCTGCCGTAGCCCTCAGCACTCGGCACCACCCAGCCCTGTGGCTGGCCCTGGCATGGGGCAACTCCACCCTAGCTAGGCTGTGTGATCCGCCAAAGCAGCTGGGCAGTTCTCGTTAGACTCTGGGCACACTGCAGCGCTCACTGCTAGGCCAAGAGCACCCCCTCTTCCCCACGTGGTGACAGCCCCATGGATCTTGCCCGTTACACCCCCACGAGCAGCAGCTGGCTAGCCCAGGCCGCACCCAAACCCGGGCAGCATAGAGCCCAGAAAGCAGCGAAGTCAGGAAACAGCAAAGGCAGGATCACGCAGCCTCCACATGGAGCTAACGGGGGCTCTGCTCCAGCCTGAGGCCTGTTAGCCCCCGTCTGACTCCGGCAGCTCTTCCCTTTGGCCCCAGTCAGAAGGACCCTCGATAACATCCACTACTGCCTCGTCGAGGGCACCTTTCTGCCCGCTCCAATGCCACCTTCATCCCGCGCTGCACCTGCCATCTCCTGCGGCTGTCCCTCTTTCATTAGCTGCTGTTAGAAGTTTCACTAGCCCTCATTTCAGTCAAAGTCTGTCAATTCCTCAGGCCCAGATGCTGTCACCCCCTGTCTCTCCCCACCCCACCCCCAGTCCGGCCAGGCTTCTGTGCTGTGTCCTCACACAGGGGCCAGTGCAGGCCCCGAATCTTGTGCAGGGCCCAGCCCCCTCGAGTACCCTGCCCGAGAACTGGGAACCCCGTGTCCCGGGACAGCTGTGAACGGCTGGGTCAGACAGACGTGCACATACACAGACAGACACTGACGCGCACTTATCGACACAGAAACATGCACATACGAACGCAGACGCTCACGCTGACAGACATGCACGAACACGGACGCAGCCAGCCGGACGCAGCCGGCGAGACACCTACCTGCTTTGGGAGTCGTGGGGGCCCAAACTCAATGCATGGCAAGGGGTCTAAGCCCCGCTCAAATAGCCCCGAGCGCTGGGTACCAGGGCTGCAGCTCGGTGCCCGGTGGGTGGATCACCCCTGCTGGGTGAGGGGCCGTACCGAGCTGTAACTGAGGGGGCAGGCGCCTTCCTCCCCCAGCACCCAGGAGGCCCCGGAAGGTCATGTTCCCCTCCACACCCATGTCTGTGCTCAGCCAGCAGAGCTGGGGGAGAGATGGCCAGCAGGCAGGGAGTCCTTCCCCCTTGGGAGCGGGTTCCCTTTGCCCTCTGGGACCCAGGTACCCACAGGGCACCTCCCCCTGGCTGAGGTGTCAGGTGCAGTGGTGAGGGAGGGGCATTTTCAGGGAGCCAGGGGTCTGAGCTCTGGCTCACCCAGCTTCAGGGGCAGAGCAGAGTGGACCCAGCCCGGCACTCTCCGGTTACCCAGAATCCCTTGCCACTGGCAGCAGTGCCTGTCTCGGGACACCTGAGCACCCATCTCTGCCCGGAGGGGAAGGGGGCACAGGAGCAGGCGAGGAACCAGGAGATCCAGAGCTTCTGCCCGCCGGGGCCAGCCCACCCTCAACCGGCTGACTCCTGCACTGGGCACTGAGGGGTCAAATCCAGCCCTCCCCCACGGCAGGGCCCCCCCAGTCACACTGTCCAGCCCCCAGGCCCAGCGAGTGGCCCAGGGCAGCCCCCCAGGCTGGGCTGTGGCTCTGAGAGGGGCTGTGGTTGCGAGTGGCACCTGCCCAGCCTCAGGGGTCTTGGCTCAGTCTGGGGGGGGGAGGGGGGAGCACTCATGTAACCGCGGGGGCGGGAAGGGGTTTCCCTGCGGCTCAGAACTCCCGACCTCACCGAAACCTGAGCGCACCCAGCCCTGCCAGGGAGCTCACCCAGAGCTGGATGCGCACAGCAGACACATGGGACCGGGGGGGAGAACAGGGGAGCGCGCAGCAAGTGTGGCTACAACATGCCTAAATGCGCACGCGTGAGCATATACCCCCCCCCACGCACAGATACATACATGCGTGAGCACATAGGCATATGCACGGCCTGTCTCCGTGTGTGTCTGTGTCCCTCCCCGTGTGCACGGCCTGCCACCCACACCCAACCATGGCCGTGCACACGGGGAGGGACACAGACACACACGGAGACACGTGTACAGATACGCAGTGATGTGAGCACAGCCATAATCCACACACATCAGCCTTGCACGGCCCAGCAGCCTCGGCACAGGAACACACCCGCTCCTGCTTGCCTTGCCCAGGAGCTGAGCACGCCAGGCTGCTGGTGAGATATGCTGCAGCAGGCCTGGAGGGGCCCAACCTGTCCCTGCTGGGTGCTTTGGTCACAGGCTGCCAGGCGAGCGGGGCTGAGATGAGCCAGTGCCTGGCAAAGGGCACAGAGACATAGACGCAAGCCCTGGGCACAGATGGCGACTGGGAGGCACAATGCACACCGACCCCAAGCCCTCGGCGGGGACGCTGAGCTGGGCAGGGTCGTCCCTCCCAGGGGCAGCAAACCCAGGAAGCCTGCAGTCATTCAACCTCCACCGGCGTCAGCGTCCACATCCTGGCCAGATCCCAAAGGGGCAATTCCGTTCTGCTGCTCCAAACTCACGTGCAGCTTCAGCGGGGCATGTTGGCTCCCTCACTCCTTGTCCTGGCTGCGTTGCTGGGAGCGATTAAACAGCTGCTGCGTGGCAGCCCAGAGGTGGCTGCATTTCAGTGGTGGGTGAGGCAATTTCCCTGTACAGTCACAAATGTCCGACAGTGGCAGTAGGGCCCCGAGTGATTCCCCTTCCTCTGGTGGGATGGGACCAGGAGCTGCTGATGGGGCTGGGCCCAGTGAATTTGCTGCACTCCCTCCTGGGGCAGCTTCACCCCAGACTCTGACCCTCTTCCAAGCCTGGACCCCACCTGTGTCTGTCCAGCCCTGGCCTGGACCCCTCCCCCCACATTTTTAGATGTTTCCTATGGGGCGTCCTGTAGACTCACTCTTAGTCTTGGGGTCACCAGTCCCACCTGCCTCCACCAGGGGCAGGCTTCCGGCACACACCCCGGCCAGCCCCATGGCCCCGCCCCCAGCAAGCCCATCCTCTCCCCATTACTGCTTCTGGTGGCTCCCCTGCTCCCAGCCATGGGACACAGCCACACCCCACCCCTCTGGCCCAGGGCTCAGGGCCTCCCAGGGAAGCCAGCGCAGTGGGGCCCAGCAGTGGGGTCTGGGCCCAGGGCGCAGCAGGTCTGTATGGAGCAGGAAATTCCCACTAGCCAGGGCTGGGATGCAGCGCTCTGCCGAGATCCAGAGGCCCCATCCTGCCCCTCTGCGCAGCGAAGTCAAACCTGGGGCTGCAGAGAGAGACCCACCAAGCATCTGGGCCAGGGATGTGCCAGCCCCATCGCACACCTCCACCCCGCCCCACCCCAACGGGCCCCATGCTGAGACCCTCCAGACTTGTGTCACTGGTGAAAAGAGCTGAGATGACAGCTCACAGGCCCTGCAGTGAGATGCCAGGGCTTTATTCCAGGTGCCTGCAGCCCCATCTTCTCCCGCCCCCCTTCACGCAGACCCATGCCCCTTCCCACGCTGCTGCCCCCTTCCCACCCAGCCCCCAGGGCTCTGTGAGGCCCCCTCTCTGCTTCCCTCTAGCGCAACAGCGAGCCTGGTGCAAGTGCCCTCCTGGAAGGCTGAGTTATGAGCCCCATGCCGCGCACCGGCCCCTTTCAGCTTCATTAGCTGCCGGTGCTCAGCCAGGCTGCCCGTCAATAAGGCCTCTCGTGATCTTGCTCATGCAGCCGTGCGCTGCGCCCCCCCCGCCCCCGGCCGACGTGCTGAGCAAGCCCCGGCATGCCGGAAGCCAGCTGGCACCAGTTCAAACTAGCAGCCGGGCTCGGTGCCAGGGCATCCTGCCAATACCACCTTGCTCCTCGCTCCTTAACTCTGCATCTCCCTCACTTCCCGGCGCTGACCCAGCTCACTGGACAGGGATCAGGTGGGGACACTGCAGACTCAGCACCAAACCCAGGCCGGGGGGAAGGGCAGCAACGGGCTGCGGGTTGGGAGTGAGAGGCACCGTCAGCGCTGGGGTGGGGCAACGCTGAGATAGCAGGGGGCTGCGGGCCAGGATTGAGAGGCACCAGCAGAGTTTAGAGGGCAGGGCTGGGATAGCAGGGGGCTGCGGGTCGGGAGTTGGGGGCACCAGCAGAGCTGGCGGGGCATGGGGAGGGGCTGGAGAATGGAGCCAGCTGTCCAGTGGGGTACCAGTAGTTCTCCTTTGGGGGCGCGGGTAGCAGGCTGGGGTTAGGGAGTGAGCCAGGATCGGACGTACAGTCAGTTCCGTGAATTCTGGGGGTTTGCCCAGCCCAGAGTGGGCACTGGGGGTGCTGCTCCCCACCAGTGAGTGAACCAGTTCCCTGGGGCCAGTGTGGGGGGCAGGCAGGCTGCATCTCCCCAGCACAACCCCCATGATGCAGAGCAGCGTGGCTGGGGGGCTGAGCCAGGAGCCCCCTTCCCCCCCCCCAGTCTGCGGCAGCAGGATCCCCCTCCCCCCGGCCGTTAGTGGCACAGGAAGCCGGGGTGTCGCCGGTTTAACCACAGAGGCTCTGTGCTGATGAGCAGGCGGTGGGGGGCAGGGACAGGCGCCAGCCCCCGAGTGGGCGATAGCACCCCAGCCCAGCTCCGGGAGCCTGGGATAGTGACTCCGGCTGGGCTGGGTGTGGGGTGAAAGGCCGTGGTCACCCCTGCATCCCGGGCTGCTTCTGGAAAGGGGGAGGGGCCCTTCACTCCTCCGCCTACCCAAGGCTCCTCTCCCTTCCCCTGGAGCCCCTGCTGCTTATCGCGGAGATCGGGCCCCGTGGGCAGCCAGTGCGGCAGGCACCTGCAGCTCAGGGCCTGGTGTCGGTTATGCCGGCTGCTCCCTGTGCTGTTTCCTGGCACCTGCCCCGCTCCCCACAGCCTGCTACAGACCCACCCCCACGTTGGCCAGCGACCCAGTGAGCTGCTGGCCAAGGGGCCGGTTTGCCCAGGCCCAGCTCACACTGCAGCGCGGCCTCCATGCTGGACTCCTGCCTGGGAAGCGACAGGCTACGTGCACTGCACTGACAGGGACGGCCCCTGGGGTGCTGCCAGGAGGGTGCCCGGCACAGCGAGCTGGCAAAGCAGATTCCACATCCCAATGGTCACAAGTGGCATGAGTCAGACTGGCCTCAGCCCAGTCCCTGTTTGTGCACATCACACAAGCCATGGTGGGAGCTGGCAGTGTCAGGCACTGTCTGGGGCAGGGGAAGCTGGGGAAGGCGCGCAAGGCGTGGCATGGCACAGCTGTACTGGGCTCCCCTGCCCACCCCCCCTCAGTTCTCTCTAACACTTTTCAGTCCTGAGCAGTCAGGTCCCTGAGCATCATGCCCCTCCAAGCCCCGTCACGCCAAGCCCCCAGCCAGAGACACACAGGCCCCAGGAGGGCGAGAGGGCTGCAGAGAGCCCCGCCCTCCCACACACACACCTCATCGCCTCTCTAAACACTCGATTTGCAGGAACCGTCGCGTTACAGTGCAGTCAGGTGCCAGTAGCACAGAGCCCACCGCTCACTCACGCTGCCAACTGCAATGACCTCTCTGCATGCCAACCGTGCGGAGAGCCAGCGTCTCCAAAGCTTTAACCCCTTCGGTGCCACCCTGCCCCGCCTGACGTGCTCATCCCCTGGGATGGTAACCAGAGATGGGGTTACCAAAAGCACCCGGCTGGGGCCAGTAAAGTCACCCTCGCCCTTCTCCTAAGGCACAGCTAACCCAACCGAGGGGCAGGGCCACACAGCCAGCCGGGCAGAAAGACATACCTGGCACATCTGGGGACACATGACCCTGGGGGCAGCCGGCACATCTGGGGACGCGGAGCCATGTGGGTGGCTGGCACTTTTGGGGATGCACAGCCGGGGGGGCCACCAGGACACAGATTTATAGATTCCAAGGCCAGACGGGACCGTTGCAATCACCTCGTCTGACTTCCTGGATAACGCAGGCCAGACTCAGAGACCTGCCCCACAACAATCCCTAGGGCAGAGCTTTTAGCAAACATCCAGCCTTCATTGCAAAATTGCCCGTGATGGTGAATCTACCAGGCCCCCTTGGGGAAATTACTCCAGTAGTTAGTTATTCTCATCATTAAAAATGTCTGCCTTATTCCCAGGCTGACTGTGTCTAGCTTCAGCGTCCAGCCACTGGATGGGGTGAGACCTTCCTCTGCTAGACTGAAGAGCCAATTATCAAAGTTCCCAAGGTCGGTACTTCCAGACTGGGATTCAGTCCCCGCTGGACATCCCATTGTTAAGTTAAATAGACTGATCTCCTTGGGTCTGTCACGACAAGGCAGCTTTTCTAACCCTTTGATCATTCTCGTGGCTCTTCTCTGACCCGTCTCTGATTTATCCACATCCCTCCTGAATTGTGGCACCAGAACTGGACACAGGATCCCAGCAGCGGTCAGACCAGGACCCGGAACAGCAGTGACATAACCTCTCTGCTCCTCCTCCAGATTCCCGTTGTGCATCCCACGATCCCATCGGTGCTTTTGGCCAGTGTTGCACCGGGAGCTCACGTTCAGCTGAATTCCACCTCCCCACCCCACCCAAATCTTCTACAGAGTTGCTGCTCCCCAGGTCAGAGCCCCCCAGCCTGGTAGCATGGCCAGCGTTCTGTTCCCAGATGTGTAGTTACATGTAGCTGTATTAAAATACCCACTGTTTGCTTGCGCCCAGGTTACCAGGTGATGCTGATCGCTCTGTACCAGTGACCTGGCCTCTGCATTATTTCCCACTTCCCCATGTTTCTGTCATCGGTAAATTCATCAGGGATGATTTTATGTTTTCTTCCAGGTCATTGATAAAGATGTTAACTAATGCAGAGCCAAGAACTGATCCCTGCGGGACCCACTGTAACACACCCGCTCAATGGTGATTCCCCACTTGCAGGTACATTTTGAGATCTACCAGTTAGCCAGTTTTTAGTCCATTTCATGTGTGCCAGGTATATCTCATTATCTCAATATCTCATTCTAGTGTTTTAATCAAAATGTTGTGTGGTACCAAGTCAAAGGTCTTAGAGACGTCTGAGTGTGTACATGTGGGCATGGGCAGCAGGATGCGCCTGACACATCTGGGGACACATGGCCCTGGGCAGCAGGATGCGCCTGACACATCTGGGGACACGTGGCCCTGGGCAGCAGGACGCACCTGGCACATCTGGGGACACGTGGGCCCTGGGCAGCAGGACGCACCCGGCACATCTGGCACACGTGGCCCGAGGGCGGGCAGGCACCTCGCTGCCATTGGTTCACTGGCCAAATCCCTGTGGTATGCCAGGAGGAGCAATGAGTCGAGGCTGGATGGCTGCTGCTGCTCCCTATGTCCCCACTGTCTCCCGTGCCCTGCTCCCTCCCCAGTTCACCCGTGGCGCTCTGGGCCGCCGAGCCCTTACCTTCGTGGGAGTGTGAGAACCAGATCTGGGAGGTGCCAGAGTGTGGGCCCCGGTAGGCCGGCTCCGAGGGGGACGAGGCGGGGCCCGTGGGATGCGTGGGGGCGGCCGAGCCCAGGCTGCTGGTGAGGAAGCTGCCCATGAAGGACGAGGCGGGCGTGTTCCCCATCAATCCACTCCCTGCTGTAAACACAACAAAGGACCATCAGCTCCGCCGGGGCCAGGGTCTTCTGCGTGGGCACCCACACAGCAGCACCCGGGCACTCACGTGCTCTGACCCGTTCACGCTCCCCCAGAACATCAGTGCCCACATGCCCGGGCATGCACACACCCACTCACACCCACGTCTGTTGGGAGGTTCACCCTCGGCTCCATGAAGTCCCTGAGGGCCACCCCCACCAAGGAGGCCATGTGGAGCCGCAGGGCCATCGGGGAAACGCAAGGAAATCTGCCCCTTCCGATTTGCACTCTGAGCCCGGGGCGAGGGCTCATCTCTCACGCGGAGGCATTTGGGTGTGTGCACCAGCTGGCAGAGGCGTGCAGGGCGCATGAGCGTTTCCACGTACATGTCTGCGGGCACTTGTGGGGCTGCATTCACCTGCCTGTTCTGGCACGTGCACATGGCTAGGGCTGTCCATCTCGGTGGTTCTAAGGAGCCGACAGTGCCTCTCTGTGTGCCCGCCCATGGCAGTGGGCACCCCGCTGCTCATGCTGATCGGGGGGGAGCAGGCAGCTCCGTCTCCCCTCAGCAGGACCACGGAGCTGTTGGGCAGGGAGCCCCTGCTGGTCTCCACCCGTCTCCCCCAGGCAACCCCAACGGGACTCCCTCCACGGTGCCCCGCCCAGCCCAGCTCCCCTCCCCCAGCCCAGGAGCCACACACGCGTGTCGTCACGGAGGCCGGCAGGGCTGTCCAGGGAGCGATGCGCCCTTCACTCAGTACAACCCCCCCACCTCGCTCCCCAGGCAGCTGCCAAAGGGTGTGGGGGCCCAGCCGCCTGGCCACGCACAGGGAACGTCCCTGAGGCTCCCAGCTCCGGGCCCTGCTCACGCTGCCACGGGCTCCGAAGGGCAGGTGCCACTGGGGCAGCAGGACAGCTCGGCACCCCCCTTCATGCCTGCGCATGTCGGGCAACAGGTGCTGCAGTCAGTGGCCTCGAGGAGCAGCCCAGCGCCGAAGGTGGAGAGGCTGCGTAGGCGGGCGTCAGCCGGGGCGCGAGCGTGCGTGGGCCGTGGGGCAGCCTGTGTGCACAGGAGTGCAGCCCCACCCAGGCCCTCCTGCGTCCGGCTCTGGATTAGGAGCTGGCAGCACCCCAGGGCAGAGCAGGTGTCCAGCCCCACCGGCCCCCAGCCTGTGAGACACCAGGTATGGTTGGGGTGGGGCAGGGAGCAGGCTCAGCGCCCCTCCAAGCCCTGCCACACCCACCCAACAGCAGGCAGTTGTCTTCTGTACCACACACAGCCCCCACACCTCAGGACCTGGCCGGGGGCTGGCAGCCCCATCCCCCCAGCAGGGACAACACACCCCATGCCAGGTGCTCACCCGGACCAGCAACGGGGGCAGGGGGCTAGGTCCAACACTCCCCAGCCTGCAGGCCCCCGGATGGGCGGGAGAGCAGCGGTGCTGGGGAGCGGCTGGGGCTGGGGAGGTGCGGGCTGGAGGAGGAGGCGAGCGTGGAAGACCGGCCTGTGAGATCATGTTGGAAACATCGCAGCCGGTAACCAAGGGCCGGGCAGGCTGGCCCCGGTCCTCTCCCCGCCCCAGCACATGTGTTTGCAGCCGGGGGTGCGGCTGAGGAGCGGGTCATTCCCTGATGGGAAGCCCGGCGGGGCCTGGCCAGACGCCCACACGGGGAGGAAGTGAGCTCTGCTCTCTAAGCCAGCCCACGCTCCGGAGCTAATCCCCAGGATGCCTCGGGGATGAGTGTCGGGATGTGGTTACGCTCGCCCCAGCCTTCCCGCTCGCAGAGCCAGGGGCTGGGGCTGGGCACCGCAGAGCAGGCGGGGCGAGGCCGCGCCCAGCAGCTGTGCTGGGGGCGGGCGCCCGGGCCACTGCTCAGTGTGCGTCTCCGGGGCAGCCGAGCAGCCAGCGGGGCCGGGATGCCAGGGCCCAGCTCCAAGGAGGAGAAGGATTTTCCAGGCTGCGGCTCTGAGAACAGGGAGCCTGGGCCCTCCCACAGGCAGCGATGGGGGATTCCCAGAGGAGCAGGGGGGCCTGGGAACAAGTGGAGGCCAGACCCCAAGCGAAGGAGCTGGGAGCCCAGGACCCCAGAGCCTGCACTGGCAACCATGGGGCAGGTGATGGCCTCAAGGCAGGACCCACGCCCCCACCTGCTCCCCAGAGCAGCATTCAGCCCCCACAGGCGATGGGGGGCTCGACCCGCTTTGCCAAGGAGCGCCCACCCACAGCTGCAATGAGGCAGGGATGGAATGGCAAAGACAGGCTCCCCTGCGCCTACAGCCAGCCCAGCTCTGTCCCAGCCCCCAGGGCGGGGGCCAAACCTGCCGCGAACCCTGGAAGCCACCCCCCAGCCTGGCAGGGGCCATATATGTGGGCGCAGAAGGGGCTGGCGCTGCCGAGTCCTCGGCACTCACCAGCCCCAGCGACCTCACCAGGCAGCTGCCCCCTATGGCTCAACAGCACGGCCGCTCCCAGCTCAGCCCTCTGTCCCCAGCTGGCAGGGCCCGGCTCAGCTCCCAGTTCTCCAGCCCCCCCAGCCCACGGTGCCAGCTTGGAGCATTTGGGCACCCCCCTCAGGATTTCCCCCTCCCAGGAATCTCCCTCCTCCCCTGCCCCCCACATCCAGGCCCCCCCAGCTAGGCCTATAGCCCTCAGACCCGACCTGCATCTCCCAGTGCTGGGCCTGCTCACTTCTCTGTTAGCCAGGGCTCCGGCCCGTAGGCCGTGGCTTCACACAGGGGTTGGCTGGGCCGGGGAAGCAGCCAGCAGGGGTGGGGTGTTTCCAGACTCCCAGCCTTTTACAATTAAATGTCATTGGCTCCTGATTTTCACCCGAACCGTCCCGGAGTGGCTGGCGGCCCCCTGGCTCTGGCTGGGACCCCGCCACACCCGCCAAACCATTTCCTAGTCTCCTGCCATCACAGAGCCAGACAATGACTTTCCCTGCTCCATTTGGGGTCGGAGATTCTGGCGTTCGCTCCCCCTTCCCAGCCCCACGCTCTGTGCCAGCAAAGGAAGAGAAGCGTTGCGGGCCAAGAGCACCCCATGCCAGCTCACCGTGGGAGGGGGAGGCCAAGGAGCTAGGATGGGTGGGCTGGAAGCCAAGAAGTGGAAGTGGAGGAGACAGACCATGGGAGAGGAGATCTCAGCTAATGAAAAGATGGAGCTCGGCTGATGCTCCCAGCCCTGGGTCTCTGCCTCACCCTCCGTTTCACTCCCCACCCCTTCCCAGCTCCAACATGCTCTTGTTCCGCAAACATCTTCCCATGTCACCCCATCTGCCCCTCGGCCTATCTCCAGCAAAGCCCCACCACGGCTCTTCATGGCTCAAGACAGAGGACAGTTCTAATGGCCACACTGGCAGAACATGGGGTCAATCTCTCCCATCCTCGGCCCCCCAGCTCTCCCCGCAAACAGCTGCACCCCCAGCACTCATTGAGCCCTGGCAAACCACCCCCGAACACACGCTGCCCGCAGGCGCTCCCCGCCCCCCCTCCCCCCCGAGTGCTAGGCAAGCCCCCATGAGCCCACCATACCCTGGCAAGCCCAGCCTGGTTAGAAGCACTCTGAACTTGATTTAAATCAGATGCGATGAGGCAAAGTGTTTCCATGCATCCGTGGCTCCAGCCAGGAGCCAGGCCGCATTATAGGGCCCGGGCAAGCACACAGCTCAGGAGAAGCAGCAAGGGGCTGGATTCCAAGCCCAGGAATCACTGAGTCACCGAGAGGGGAGGGGGAGTGCTCTGCGCTCGGGGTAGAGGTGCCAGCCTGGCCCCCCAGAACCGGATGTGCCCCCTCTCTAGAGCAGGTGCCAGGCAGGCAGGGCCACCCCCACCCTGTCGTGTACCACTTCAGCCTGGGGTGCCCTGCCCCATGGAGCTCACACTGGAGGGGGGAGGGGCACCATGACCTGGGGTGATAGGAGAGGGGGGTGCAGCATCCCAGGGTGGGAGCAGAGGGGGGAGCAGGGTCCTGGGGGGTGGGTGGAGTGGGGGTGCAGTGTCCTAGATTGGGGAATGAAGGGGGGCATGATATCCCAGGCAGGAGGAGAGGAGGGGCATGGTGTCCTGGGGTGGGAGCAGAGGGGGGTGAGAGGAGAGAGGGTCATGACATCCTGGGAGGGATGAGAGAAGGGCACAGCATCCTGGGGGGCAGGGTGAGAGGGGGGCGCGGCATCCCGTGGTGGGGATGAGAGGGGTGTGTGGCATCCTGGGGGTGTGAGGGGGGGCACGGCATCCCGGGGTGGAGTGAGGGAAAGTGGCATCCCGGGGTGGGGGAGAGGGGGCTGTGGCGTCCCAGGGCAGGAGCAGAGAGGGGCCGACGCATCAAGCTGATGCCCTGAGCCGCGGCCCGGGGCGAACAAGGGTTCTCTAACGGAGTAATCTGATCGGTTGAGCCAGGTTCAGAGTCTAACTTTCCCCCCAGTCTAGCTCCTCAGTGTGTGGGTGGGGGGGGGGATTTACCCCGGCTCCCCCCAGGGAGCATCGGGGCCGGGCAGCGGGAGGAGCCGGGCAGGGGGCCAGAGCTGCCATGTGCTGGGCAGGGCCGGCCGAGGTTCCAGGCCCAGCTTGCTCTGGAAGCTGGGAAGCAGGCGGCAAAGCGACCCAGGCTCTGCGCTGGCTGGCTCGGGGCTCCCTGAGAACAGGGCCCCCCCGGCCGCTCTCACACTCCCCCCCACGTTTCCGACCAGCTGACTCACAGGCCGCTGGCACCAGCTCTGCTCCCCAGGCTCCGGGTCTGGCTGCCGAGCCGCGCGGCCAGGCCTGCGCCAGGTTCCCACCCCCCTCCTTTCACACACTCCCGAGCAACCCCCCGCTCCCGCCCGCCCGAGCTCTGCTCCCACAGCCCTGCCAAGGGCTGAGGAGACGCACCCACCTTTCCCTCATTCCCAGCCCCGGGCCCCGCTCTGCAGAGCAACACTATCAACCCATCAAAGAAACCAGAACCGTCAGAGAGAGCCCCCGGGCGGGGAGAGGGAGGCCCAGGCCGGAGAGAGCCCCAGGC